GGGAGGGAGAGAACACAGGCTGAGTGGTTTGTGCCTTAATTAAGAGTTGAAAAATCAGACTGGAATCTAACTTGAAGGGTAACGGCGCAGAGGGAGCCGCTCAGTTTCCTGGTAGAGCGCAGTGTCTGTTTTTAGTCCTGTCGTGCAGCTCGGGGTGATGTTCGGGGCCGGGTGTGTCTCCGCTCGCCTAGAAGGGCTGGGGCGGCAGCTGCTCGCTGTCAGCGCAGCCCCGCTCACGGCCGTCTCCGGTCCCCCCTCGCTGAGGCAGGGCCCGGTACCGCAGAGCCGAGAGCAGTCCCGGGCTGCGAGTCCCCGGCGCTCGGACAACGCAGCCGGAGCGGCATCAGCAAGCGATATTGCGCATGCGCGGAGCCCAGGCCCCGCCCCGAGAGCGGTGCGTCTGATTGGTCTTTTGGGGCGCAACATGCAGATGAGGGGGCGTGCCTTAGCAGATTCGCTGGCTCCGTTTTCGGGGTTTGGTAGCGGGACTGGGGGTCACGGGCGGCGGTGGGAGTGCGGGTGTGTGCGGGGAGCGGCGGTGCGGGGCCTGGGGCGGGACTGGGGCTCGGTGTAAGCGGTGTCCGTGAGCTGGAGGGCGATGCGCGGCGATGGGGCGGGCGGCGTTGGGAGTGGTGAGTTAGGACTATACTTTCAGGGATCATTTCTGTAGTTGGTAACTAGAGGAGTGTGATCGAAAGTGTCCGGCGTCACAACCCACGAGGAGGAGTGGTGTGTTCTTTCCTGAGCGTGAAGCGGGCGGGCGGTGCTGCTTGTGCAGGAGCCGCCCGCCATTGATGACCGTTCCCGTCCCACGTGTTGGGTCTGGGAGGGAGAGAACACAGGCTGAGTGGTTTGTGCCTTATTCGAAGTTAAAAAGCAGGTTTTATCGTTATCGTGGAGGGTTTTTCAGATGGTGGAATCAACTCTGTTGAAGGTGTCAAAACTCTGCTCTTCCTTAATGCTCCCCTAGAGGCATGGTCTTTTTTTTTAACCAGCGGAGTGTTGTGCTGTTAATTGTGCTGCCCTGTGATGCTTTGCTTCTGGCGTTTGGATTTCATTCATTTAGAAACGCTGCATCAGCTGTGGGTGGTGTGTATGGAAAGCTACAAGGGAGATTGCTTATACCATCTTACCAACGCTTTTCAGTCTATCTCGTTATATTTCTTATTCGCAGCAGGAACGTGGCAGTAACCTGCACTGTCAACAATCCTGCCCTTCCCTTCCTCTTTCCCTTGTCTTTTAGAGGAGAAAAACACTTCCAGTCATCCTGATTTCTTTGCAGGTGCTTCTGTTGATGCTGTGAATTCCATGGGCCAAACCTCTCTTTTCACCGCTGCATTGTTAGGCCTTGGTAGAATAGTGGATGTGCTGTTGGATTATGGCTCAGACCCTAACCAGTTAAGTACACAAATATTTCTTTCTATTTAAATTGAAACTAGCAGTTAATCTGTTAGAGTTTTCAGCTTTGTTATGCAAAGCTCCTCAAAGGTAAGCAGGTGGTTAATTTTCCTTGTGTCCTGGCACACATTAATGATTTGCTGTACATAATCACTATCAGTATGCAGTTTCTTCCCTCAGGCTCAGCTGTTTGGTGGTGGTAGGGGTTGGCTGTAACATTTCTGCTTTAATGCTCCCCAGTCGCTGTTATGATGGAAGCACTCCGGTCCATGCAGCAGCTTTCTCAGGAAATCAGTGGGTTCTTAGCAAGTTACTGGATGAAGGAGGTGATCTGAGAGCGCACGATGAAGGGGGGAAAAATCCACAGTACTGGGCTATGTCAGCTGGAAAAGAAAGCAGTGCTCAGGTAGGGGTTTGTGAAGTGTGTACACGTTGAGTATGTGCTGCGTGTGCATTCAGATCTTAAGGTGAAGAAATTCCAGCATTTCAGAGATAGATGGCTTTTCTGTATTTGAAAAAATATTTAACTATTTTTTTTTTAACTTTCATAACAGCATTTTGAAGTCCTAATGATTGAGATTAAAGTCAGGTTTGGCTGAGGCTCTGTCCATGCCCATAGCTTGTTAGGACCATCGTGTGTACTTGTAAGAGAGGAGAACGACAGCTCCTTGGTTTTAAATTCTGAGGTAACCTTTTCCCTTCCCCACCCAGATGCTGGAATTCATACAGCGCTGTACATTCCACATGCAGGCTGCCATTCAGAATTTTCCCTGTGATCCAGTGAGGAAGATTTGCTCATCAAAAGCACTGGTTTCCAGTCCATCCAGGTTTGGTGGCCTTGTTCAAGGGTAAGAATATATTCTCTTCATCGAGGAATTGGCTTTCTTGGATTCTTACCTCCCCGTTGTCTTAAAAGTAGCTTATTCCTGACCTCATTGGTCACTGTAAATCTTTCAGAGGTGTGTTTCCAACCACTCATGAGCTTTTATATCAGATGATAGGAAAAATGCATATTTGTGAAGAAAAAGTGGTGCAGGGTGTCTGTATGTATGCATGACTGGCCACCTGGCTTTAAACAAAAGCCTCTTGTAACAGTGTTTTTTTTTTTTTTAAGGTCTTAATTACTTGCACAATAGTTTGGGATTTCAGCCTTTGCATTACACTTGCTGTGTGGAACCTGGCATGATGTTTGAAATCCATGACTGCTGCCTTGGTTCTGTGCCCTGTCTTTGCCTCAACATAACAGTTACTGCTCTTGTTCGTATGTTTTTGTTACTTAGAAATGCTGACAGTCCTCTGGGTAGATTTCTGAAAGGTGGAGTTAATGCAGCCAAGAACATCTATAGCTTTGGTTTTGGGAAGGTAAGCTGCTATGGATAACGTTTTTCTAATGTTATTAGGACAGTTTTCCTATTTTTTTTTATTTTTATTTTTTAGTTGTGTGTTCTTCACAGGAAAAAGCTGTGGAAATGCCAGCTATTCAGGCCTCTATTAATGGGCCTTACTGGAGGAGGCTGATTTAGAACAAACAATAAAACCTTTGCTGTGATCGTTTCTGCTTTTCTGATTTCAACTTCACCAGGAAGTTAAGCTTTTTCACTGGGCACCTTAAGATTTTAGTGCAGTGCTTTGGTTAACGTTCCCATTGCAGCGATTGCTTCAGAGTTTTTGCTGAGTTTTGGCAGATGTGGTACCTCTGGAACTCCTGCACGTTCCTTTTGGTTTATGTGCTGGTGTTGTTTCAGTTCTATCTTGCAGGCAGCGGGCATCTGGGCTACTTGGCATCTCTCCCTATTATTGGGGAAAAAGAAGTGGTTCAGGCAGACGATGAACCGGCGTTTTCTTACCGTGTTGGACCATGCATGACCATGACAAAGTGAGTGGCATCAAAGGGACTTCAGCCCCTCTCCATGTGCAGCTGTTGCTATAAAGTGGCAAATTGGCAAACAGGTGCTTTGTTTGGATTGTTTTCCTTGTGGGTTCTGTACTCTTCCACCACCTTCTCTCACAACTTTATTTTGTAGTCCACTGGTTGTCATAGACTCCTTTGGTTGCTCTTGTCCCTTCCACACATAGGTGGTTATTCACTGATATAGTGACAGCAATAAAACACTGATATACTATTGTCTGGATGATCAAAATAAGGGCAGTGTTACTGACATCAGGACTCTTACAGAGGTCCTTGTAGGTAGTACTTCAATGTGAAAAATAGCTTCTGTAAAAAGCATATTGCAGATACTCTTCTCCTCGCAGCTTGATGTGGGGGAGCAGCAGAGTGACAGTGAAGGAACTCAGCTTTCAGCCCCATCAGAACTGCAGTAAGCTACGCTTAGCTGATCTTCTCATTGCAGAGCAGGAGCACAGTAGGTAAGAGACAATGAATGTGCTGTCAGTGCTCCTGCGGTCTGTGAGTGGGAGAAAGTGTGATTAACCTCAAGCAGGCTGTCAGGCTGCATTTCTGGTTTCTCTCCAAATGAGAAATACAGGATTTTTTTTCTTCTTCTGTCTCTTCCTACTCTGTTTTCTCCCCTATGTATAATACAGAAAAAAGTGATATTCCCTTCTCCCACAAATGCTTCACTGCATGTTTCATTCACAGCTTGCTTAGATTCCTCTAGAAGCAGCAGTTTGTCTATGCAGATAAGTTGGAAGTATTTATGTAGAGAAGACCCAGAAGGGCAGGACTCTGTTTTTTGGTCTCAAATTCACTATAACTTACTTCCTTTCCCTTTGCAGTAAACTCCGTCATCCCCATTTGCTGCAGTTGATGTCTGTTTGTCTGTCCAGTGATTTGGAGAAAACCCGTTTGGTGTACGAGAGGGTCAACTTTGGTTCTTTGTACAGCATCCTGCATGAAAGGGTAACTGCAATACTTTTTAAGCAACACTTATTTGAGTGTTTGAATACAAGCAGCTAAGATGCTGTAGGGGCTGCAGCTGAAGACAGAAGAGTCAAAGAGCTGACTGTGCTGCAGGGAGAACTTTGACATAGTCAGTATCTCTTAATTACTGTTTAATGTGTTACTATGGTTTGGTACCCAGAACATGTACATTATTCAGCAGGTGCACTTTGTGTTGTTGTTACTACAGAATGTTTCATTTTGCTTTCTTTGCCTCCTGATGTACAGCAATGGTTTCTCACTGCATCAGGCTTTGAAGTCCTGCAGTGCAAAATCAATGACTGTGTGGTTTTTTTTTCAGCGTGCCGAATTCCCAGTGCTGCGCATGGAGACAATTCTGCATGTCCTCCTTCAAATCAATGATGCTTTACGTTTTCTGCACTCCCGTGGATTTATCCACCGTACAATTACCTCCTATGCTATTCAGATTGTTTCTTCTGGTGAAGCAAAGCTATGCAACATGGAATACATGATAGAGAGGTAGAGAATTGCCTTACTTTGGAAACACAAAGTCAGTGCTAAATTCTGCTGATTAGTAGGTATCTAATGGTCAAGAAGGACAATGTTTTTTGCCTCTCTTTTGAGAGAAACATTTTAAATTTTTGGGTAAACTACTTTATACTTATATACATTTTTTCCTTCTTTCCTGCAGTGCAGTCTGATTAGGAAGGGAGTCAAAGATCAGTTAGACTTCAGTGAGAGTAAAATTGGCAATAAGCAAGATTTTCCAATGGAAATATGCAGAAAGGAGCAAGAATACTTCTTAACTTCTTTTTCTCCTTTCATGTAGCAAGGATGGTGGAGAACACAGTGATCTGACGCGTATTCCTGTGCCAGCCCAGCTGTATAAATGGTGCTCTCCTGAAGTAATCCTTGAAAAGAGTGTCACGGTGAAATCCGACGTTTACAGCTTCTGCACAGTGATGCAAGAAGCCTTGACAGGTACGTGTGTGGGCTTAGGCTGTTGTCACCACAGGAGCTCACTGAATGTTTTTGGAGCAGGCTGTTTATTTGCCTTACGTTGCTGCATAAAACCTTGCAGTTATTGCACGTGTGGAGCTGAGGTGGGGAAGGAACCCTCCTGACAAAAAGCCAGTGTTGATGATGGTGGCAGGGACTGCGGGAGACTTGTAAAGTGTATTGAAAAGCTTTAAACTGCTGAACTGAAGAATGAGATTAATGGTAGGTATTACAGAGATAAAATCTTGTTGAGTGGTGTTTTGCTGCTATTTGTCATCTTCATGCAAGGACAGCAAAGCATTCAGTTAATTATTTGCAGTATGTAAGATGAGCCTGTATAGCTTTTCTCCTTTTCATCATTAGGAAAATATATGGGAAAACTTCTGTTATATGCTGACTTTAACTGTTTTGACAGTGAAGTATATAATAAGCAATTATCCTGAAAATTAAACCTAGAAGGTGAGCTGATTGGGAATGAGCAATACAGAGCGTGGTTACTGTGTGACTGTCCTCTGCACAGCTCCCTGTGTGGGTCTGCGTTTGACTGAGATAGAGAGGATATGCTAGGCTGGATTGAGTGCTGTTATTATAGTGAAATCTAGTAATTTTACAAACAGTAATTATAGTTTTATAGTTTTAATTAGAAATTACAGGACATGTAGGCAGGAATAATTCTTTGTTTCCGATTCTTCTCTTCCTCTCTCCATTAGCATTAAGATACGACTTATGACATGAAGTGTACACTTATGTATTGCAGAGACCCTGCCCTGGAAAGGTCTTGAAGACTCAGTAATTAAACAGCTCATAATTTCAGGACAGCAGTTGGAAGCAGATGTCAGACTTCCTGTACCCTATTATGACGTTGTGAAGTCAGGGCTTGAATCCAAACAGAGGAACCGCTCCATGAACCTCCAGGATATTCAGTACATACTGAAAAATGATTTAAAGGTAACTTGTGGAATCGTGTCCTTTTTGTGGTTTTGAATGGCAGTTTCATGTCTGTTCAGATTCAGGTTGTTCTGCTTAAAATCTGCGTGAGAGGCTTTTTTGTGTGAAACCTGAACATTGAGTGTCTTTGTTTGATGATGGAGACAAACCGCTTTAAAATAGAAGGTGGAGTCACTGGACTTTCCAATACAGAAGTCATTCATAGTCTGTCTTGTCTTTCAGGACTTGACTAAGTCTCAGAGTTGTCATGCTGATGAAATGGCAAACGCACAGAGGCCTGCTGTTTTTGCAGATATAAACATCTGTTTGTCATCAACTTTCAGCTACCAGAAGAGAACACTGGAATTGAACGAAAAAGGGGTAACAGAGGCTGGTAAGTTTCTTTTAGCAAGGTGTGGTGTGTCCTTTGCTTGGTGTGTTCCCCAGTCCATGAAGATCTGATGTAAATAATTAAAATGTGAGCATCTGGAGATTTTATGACATAGTTTGGAAAAAAAGAAAGCATTTAGACTTGAATTATAGCTAATAATTAATGTAAACTCAAGACTGTTTGTCTGGTTAATAATTGAAGTTCAGGCACACTGCTTTCAACAGAGGTGTTAAGTGCTGCTTATGTAATCTCTCAAAGGTGTTGATTCCTTAAAAGTACAAAAGTATTGTGTCTGATAGGCCTCTGGAACTAAACACTAACATCATATTTTCCAGACAGTTCTGCTGTCCCAAGTTACCCTGTTTTTCCTGAAGAGAATAATGCTTTAGTGGACGTTGAGGCACCCACCAGTCTGCAGCTAGTTGTGCAGGAAAGCAGTCACGATGCAGCTTCTGAAACCCAGATGACCTGCAGTGTGAGTGATGTGGATGACAGCCTCTGTAGCTTTGAAATGAATGAAGTCTTTGCCAGTTGTCCTGACTTTCATGAAGACTTCCTGGAAGAAGGAGCTGAATTAAGTCGAACACTAAAGGATAAAAAAAGACAGCAAAAGGAAAAAGATGAGAATGTCCTTGGAGACCTGTGCCTGTCCCCTGGAACGTACTGTGAGGAAAAGCCAGGTTATGAGGAAGGCAGCATTTCAGAGTCAGTTGCAGAGTGTACTGCAGAAGAGGAGGAAAGGAAAAATGAGGCCTCTGACCTGAGCATGCTGGCACAGGTGAGAGGAGATGCTGGCAGGAGGAGGAGTACTCTGTCTTCAAATGAACAGCACATCAGTAAATGTGTCCTTGATTTAAAGATTGTTCAGAGCATGTTGCAGCAGGCAGCAGAGTCCCTGTGCAGAACAGAGGAAAAACTGGACAAATTAGAGGCAGCTGAAAAGCAAAGGAAGCTTCTGCAGGGAATTTGGACAAATCAGCTTTCTGAGCAAGTTTTTTGTGACAGACCCTGTAACAGATCTGATAATACTTATCCAAATATCAATAACCCTTTTTCTGGAGCTAACACTTCTTTATGGAAGGCTGTAGGTCCGCCATCGAGTGACTACATTCCACCTCTGATGACATGCCACTCACAAGGAGCTCTGCATGGAGGTGGTTTCCAGGCTGTTTCAAATGTGACTGAGGAAATGTGGGCAATTCAGAATGGAAAGTGGAAATGCTTTCATCAGAGGGGTAAGAGTGAAAATGAGAACAACCAGCATGACCTCAGCTTCAGTGAGGTGAAAAGCCTTGATGATCAAGTGGACCTAGAACACGAGGTAAAACGTGGGGCATTTATCACTTTCCTGTTCTCTATCAGGTTTATGGTGAAGAGTTATGAATGTAGTAGTTATGAATGGTGCTCAAGAAGAGGGAGGAGCTAAAATGTGTAACGGTGACTGAGGAGGGAATGAAGTCTTGTGATAAAATGGGGAAAGTGTGGGGCCTTTGTTTTTTGTTGTTTGGTTTTTTGTATGTTTTTATTTAAGGAGATAGGAGCTGTCGCTTCATAAAGACTTTTAGATCATTTTCATTATTAAGAATAAACAGTTGATATGCTTAGCAAGACAAGAATGAGAAATTTGTGTTGTCTGCTCTGGGACTAATCTTGGATCATTTAAGTGTACTCATTGCCATAGGAACCAGATGTTGTGACAGTCTGCCTACATGTGTGAAACCTGGTATAAATCCAAAGAGTTTCTGCTAGGCTAAAGGCTGGAGCTGCCATCCTTTCAGCAAAGAAAAACATAGGGAATGAAGTTTGTCTTGTCCAGTTCTTAGTAAATCTCATAGACAGCTCTGCTAGTAATTAACAGAGTGCCCAGTGTGCTGAATCATGGCTTGTTGGACTCATTTCAGCATTTACTCCCACGTGTATCTGTTAGATGCAAAAAAAAGTTCAACTTTCAGACTCAGAGAGGGAGTGACTCACGTTGTGCAGCAAGTGGAAGCAAAGAAGAGAGGCGGTGAGTTTTGATCGTATTCACCAAAAATTAATTGTAGTAGATTCATCTTGCTACAGCCACTGTCCAAAGGAGATGCATCCAGGATTGAAGATGGCATTGGATGGTTTTTTTTTTTTTCCCAGTAAGCCAAAAGCCATCTGTCCAATTAGGTCTCTTCTGTGACTCACTGTCAGCTGCAGAACTGACAAGTAACTGCTGCAACTGGGCACTTCTAAAAGTGGTGTTCAGACAAATTGCAAATGGTTTGCTGATGGAGGTCAGCGTTCTGGAAGTGTGACTGTGCTGCAGGAGAGCGATCTAATAATGAAGTCAGTAATAAGGGTTCCTCTCTGCACACAGCCTCATTCAGTTCTCAGTAGAAACACTGTAGCTTTCACTGGTGTAGGACTAGGCCCTACCTCACAGGGACAAAAACCTGTCCTGCCTCATGATTTATTACAGGTGCTATCCAAAACCAGCATCTGAAATTTGCAGCACAAAAATAAGCGAGGAGAGGAGGAGGATGCAGCCAGAATGGAGAAGTAAGTAAATCAGTGTTACCTCAGCATTAGTGGTAGCAAACTTCAGTGTGGTGGAGTGCATTAAAACTTCATACGTTTTTGTCACCTAAGAAAGGTCTGTCAGCCTTGATTGCTGTAGCTCTATTAGGCTATTTTTGGAGAAAAAAAGCACATTTTGCACATTCAAGATATGAAGTAATCACAACCACACTAAGACAGTTTGACTATAAAGCTCAAAGAATATCTGTCTCTTTTTAGAAGGATGTGAGAGTAGATCGTGAGTTTAGAATGGGTAGCACAGCAACGACCAGTGGATGGCAGTACAGAATGAATAATAGAGAATGCAAACTAACAGAAGTCGTTCATAAAAAAAGGCTTATCTGTATGATTTATGCAGATTGTAAACTTAAATAGAAGGAAGCTTCCAGCTCTTTTCACTATAAAGGAACACACAGGCTGTAACTTCAGCATTTTCAAGTATGCAGACACAAAGAAACACAGGGAAAGGTTTCAGAGTCCAGATTGTGTTTTGTGAGCTGGTAACTTTGTTCTTTTTGTGTAGCTGAAGTAAGGCAGATGGCTAGAAAAGTGGCCTCAGGACAACTAGAGCTAATTGCCCCATATCTAGCCAGTGATTGTACATCTGAAAGTGAAGTGGAGAGTATAAAGGAAGCATTTCCACATGTCACCAGTAGAGCCCAAAAAGGGCGAGACCAACGAGGATATAGATGGCATACAGGTGACAGTGCTGAGCCTTGGGAGGATGGATCTGAATCTGAGGAGAGTGATCTGGAGTCTATATTCAGAAGTTCTGGAGGTAAGGCTGAAAAAAGATTTTCTTTTTTTCTTTTTTTTTTTTTTTTGTCTTTTTGTCTCTATCTCCCAGCAGATTTCAGCTTCTGTGGCTTTTGTCAGAGTAATTGGCCATTTCCCTTCCAGAGTCCTTCTCCAAAAGCAAAGCCAGTGGCTCAGTCATTTCTGAATGTAGGCTGTACTGAATGTACTGAATATTACACATGAATAGATGGAGGAAATGTCCACTGAGCTTGGAGACCATTCATGATCACTGATCACCACATACCAGCATGTGAGAGCTAAAGCTTTCAAATCCATGAATATGCTCTCACTCTTGTTTCTTTCTATTGGATTGCTACCAGTTTTCTACCCTACCAGCAGAAGTAGTGGACAGTGCTTTTATAATGGTTATGGATAAAGGAACAAGGAAAACTTTGCCTGCTTTGATTAATAATATCTTTTAACTTGTTTCTTTCTTTTTTTTTTTTTCTTTTTCTTTTCTTTTTTTGAGATTGTGGTTTTATTCCATCAGACCACTCATTTCCTATTATTTTTGCCTTAATGACTGTATTCTATTCTGACATTCTAGGGGGAAGTTGCCAGTCACCATCACAAGATGAACAGACAGAATCTGGACCACCTGTTGATAAGAATTCAGTCATTTTTCAACAAATTGAGACTGTCTCTAGGGTATGTACCATGTTCTGAGAAATCTAGTTGCTGCTGGTTACTTGTAAAACAGTTCAGAACAGTCTCTTCATGTTACCAAACTACTGAGGCAGCCATCTTTCGAGTGATCTGACCAGCAGTCATCTCAACTCTTTATTTTCTTTCCTCTTCTGTGGACTGTCAGAGTAATGCAAAGAGTAGGAACTAGGTTGAAACAGAGAACGATCAAATTGTGTATCATTGCATTTGATGCAGTTTAACATTATGGACTAAAATGTGTGCTCAAGAGAGAGTGGAGACAGCATCTTAAATGCTAGTGTCTTTCACAGGGGCGTTCAAGAGAATTACCTTGTTCCTTTAATTCATATCCCAGTGAGTCTGAAGAATTCTTGACTCCAGATTCTGATTATTTCCTTCCTCCTGCTGTTCAGGAAAGCTCAGAACTAAAGGTAAAAGACACAAACACAACAGGAATTAAGTCCGTGTCGTGAATGTTGGACGTAAGTTGAATTGCATGTGATTTTATTATGCTCCCATTTAATTTGAAGAAGAGCTGTAGAAAATGTGAGAGTAAATTTTTATTGTCTTCTGAAGGAATATCTACAAATTGAAATCTAAAAGTAAGAAAATTCTGACCCTGCTCCTTTAGAAACAAGCAAAAAAACCCAACAAACCAAAACCACCAAAAAACAGGAGGGACGTGTTTACTTTATTTGGTTTCCCAGTGGCCATATTATCTGTGGAGCCCTAAAATCACTCTCTTGTTGGTTGAGAAAAGTTTGAGGCTGCTGATAATGTCAACCTTTCCTCTCAGCTCTGTAAGCCACAGTATTCAAGAGTCTTAAAAACAATCTTCATTCAGTTCTTGAAATTTTGAAACTTAAACAGGCTACTAATTCCAGTCCTTGCTGCATGCTGATGAGCTCTTGAAAAGCTCTCTCCATTCTGCTGGTTGTGAATATCATCCTGTGTGAGTTGTCCTACTTGTTGCAGTTTACCAGTGAGAAATGGCGTTTGTTTCCTTTTGCCTTTGCTCCCTGCTCTGGACCTCAAACCCTGGAGGGAAATTAGCAGGCACTCATGGTTGGTTTTGTTTTGTTTTACAGAAACAGAGGCCTGAAGATGCAGGATCAGGTATTCAGGAATCAGGTAAAACTGCTTTTCTGAGGTTGGGGAGACAAGTCTTGTTGCACTCATGTATTTTGGCAGCAAAAGAAGGCTGTTAGAAGGCTGAAGCTGGGTTTCTTGGGGTCAGTTGGTGTCTTTTCTTTGTTACACTGAGAGCTGATTTTGGAAGATGAAATTTGGACATTGCAATCACTGAAATATCACTTGATGCAATGATTATGTTCTTGCTGTTTGATGAAGCAAGCAAGCAAATCCTACTCCTCATTTTATACCTTCAGGCTAAGTTTAATGTTTTCATGAGACTTGCTGTGGTGCTGGGAATTAGAGCTGTATTTACACATTAATGTTATTAAAAGTATCTTGAGCATAAAAGCTTTAAGAGCTGACATTCTGTGTGCAGAGTAATGTAATGATCACTGTTGTCTGCTGCTGCTTGTCTTAGCTCAAATGTGTAAATGTTGTGATATTCCCCAGTGCTTTAGTGGTTGACTGTCTGGCAGCTGTGGTATGTTTATGAAAATGCATCTTTAAAACACATTTGTCTCTTGACAACAACAAAGGTCAGAAGAGCTAAAAAATTTAATAAAGTTGCAATTTCCTGTTCAATGAGTTGTGTCACTTTCCTTTGTACTTGCAAAACCCAATAACAGGGAACATTTGTTATTTGTATTCAGGAGGAAAAATATTACTCTGCGGCACAGCAGCACAGAACTCTGGCAGTAACACACAAGGAGTGAATCAGCTTATCCATATGCCTGTAGCCAGGTAGACAGACTTATTTTCATACTTACTCCAAGCATAAATTGGGTTATAAAGTATGCTCTCATAACTAAATCTGCTTAATATTCAAATAAGGTGCCATTGGTGTTTTTAATCATCATCTACACAACGTAGTTCATTGCAAAAAAAAAAAAAAAAAGGGCTTTCATGAGTCTCTTGGGGTTTTGTTCTTTCACCATGTTCACTATATTTATTTTGTTTGTTTCCCTCATTAAGCAGTAAAACAGGAGAGGTAAATCATGTATATAACAATTTCTTTTACACTCGTACAGTATATCAGTTTTAAACAGAGCAAAGATAATCCACATTATGGCTTCTGTCATCTGTTTTAATTTTGTTCTGCTGTGGTTTCAGAGTTCAGGTGGCATGGAGATCATGCTTTTTTCCCTTCTCTGGGAAGAGTCTTGCAAGTACACTCACTGCATCTTGCCTGCAGATAACATTAGCCTGTGCTGGGGGACTTGCAGTCTCCCTTGTCAAGCATTGAGGTTTTTTGTCCATTATTTTTGTAAATTTTGTGTTCCAGTAGTGTGCAGAGATGTCTGCCAGCATCACCACCCTGCTGCAAGGAGTAATGTCCTTTAAAAAGAAAGTTTTCTCCCTGAATGTCTTTCAGCAGAGGTTTTTGGGCTTCTTAAAAGCCTGTAGCCTCCCTGTGGTAGACAGCTTGCTTTGTGTTCCCCCAGTTAGCAGCTGCTCAGTGGGAGTGACAACTGCTTTTACTGTCTGTCAGTATTTGTATTCTCTCCTCTCCACTGGAGGAAATGAATTACGAGTGTCAAAGGTTGAAGGTAGGTAGCAAGAACGTAAGTATTTGGCCTAAAGGTAAAAAGTAATGTTTCCTGTTGCTGTGTCACTTAGGAACTGAGCTCTGGCCATCAGGACACAGAGACCTTTTGCTCTCTTACCATCAGACTAATGCCTCTCTGGCCTTGAATGGGATTGTTGCAGTTTGAGAGAACAGTTTACATTGTCGACTGATCAATGAAGATAAAGCAGTGTAGTGATGTATATTTACAGATGTGTAGTTAACTTTCAGTCTGTTTTGAAAGCAATACATGCTGTGCAGATTTCTTTTTTCTCTATACTGGATACAACACGCTGAAAATACTTTTTCCCTCGCCCTCTCTCTCCAATCTCTAAGGTTTTGAGCAAAAAGTTTGTATGAGTCTCAGAGTGAAGGTCAGCCTCTAAACTTCTCGAGAGAAGAAACAAAATGCATTTATTTTCATAATTTTTCTGAGAAGATCAATGACAGTGACCTTCCCTGTCTTCTCTTCCCTTATTCCAGTGTTGAAGCAGCACAAGAAATGATGTCAAGGGAGCCGCAGGAAGACTCCAAAGAAAAAGACACGTAAGAGCCACAGATTTGCTCTGTGCTGAAGCCTGCAGCAGGTTGGCTGTTACCACTGTGAAAGTGCAGTGTTGATGTGAGACAGGAAGATGTGACAGACAAGCTGAGAGTCAGAAAACTGGGATGTTGGAAGAAGCTGGGAGATGGCTGTAAAAGGGCCATTGCGTAGTTGTCCTCAGCTTACATCAGAATATTTTCATGTCTATGAGTAATTAAATTAGTGTAACAAGTAATTAACCCAGTGCAATTTGCATGTGTCTCTTATGTTAGTGTTGCGATTCCTTGATTCTTCCATGCATGTTATGCAGAAGAAATAAAATCACTTTGAAGGGTGGACTGTTAGGCTGCAGTTAAATAAATTGCATTGCAGAAATAGTATTGTGATTTATCTTCTTAAGGAAAAATTACAAGCCAAGTTTTACAAGCCAAAATTACAAGTCAAGTGACTCAGCTCTTGAAGTTACATTTTTTACAGAAAATGGAATTTTGCATAGCAGTCATTGACTTGATAACAGTGAATTCATGATCATGTGAAGATGCTGTGAGGACAGCATAACATAATCTGCAGTGTATTTGCCTTGTGTCATTCCAGTCCAACAGCAAATCAAGAGTTTTTGTTACTTGAGTGTCCATCACTTCCTGTGCAGAAGCTGAGCAGTTTCAGTTAATCTGAGTAATTCTTTTGCAGACTCCTAAGATCTTACATTATTCTTAATGAATCTTTATTTTTTTGTGAAAGGTTGAGGATTTCCTTTGACTTTGGAGGCAGTTTTTTTCCTAGAGGTTCACAGTTGAAGCTGTTGTCCTTTCTGGAGGCAGTTTCCTGAGGTTTCTTTTATAAGACAGTTATTAAAATGAAATTCTTTAAAGAAGGGGAAGGGTAATAATTAACCTTTTGTCTGCAAGATCACTGAAGGTGATGATCTTTAGTCTTTGAATTCTGTGTGAAGTTGTCAAAGCAATTGTCTTCTGGAAAACTGGATAAGACTGAACAAAAGTAGAACATAAAGAACCTGAAAGTAGCAGAATTTAGTGATTTACAAGTAAAAGAACTGGCTATTCTAACATGTCAGAACATTTTTCAATGCTTCAGATCAGTGGCAGATATTCAGGATTTGTCAAGTATTCCCTGTGAGGAAGAGCACTGCTACAAGGACATAAGTTGTAAAACGCCTGGAGTGAGTCGTGTGCCCCCCAGTGTCAGCACTCCAATCAGTTCAGGTAAGTGCAGAGAGGAAAGGAGGGAGGACAAATTGCTGGAGTGTTTCATGCCAAGTAGAAACTGTTTATGCAGATCACAGAAGCTCCATTCATGTAGTACCAATGCAGAAATGCTGTTTTCCAGTTTTGCTATCATTTTTTTTTTTTTTAATTCTAGAGGAAAAAATTCCAGTGTCCTTTGAGAAGCACAGATGCTGCCATGAAGTAGTTTTGGATTCTTCCTTGTGCATTTGTCAAGAGGTTTCCTCTGCAGTGTCCCGGACGTTCACCACAGCCTATGAAGAGGAAAGGAGCACTGAAGTTCTCTCTGCTTTTCCAGGCGTTTGCTCCTCTGGATTGAATGAGCCTGTAAGTCCAGGGAATTAAACAGATTACACTTAACTCAGTGCAAATATTGACCAGCATCAAAGTGGCCTTGCCTGATAAAGAATTGCTGCTCAGCATTAGATCCAGCGATCTTGCAATACCAAAGCAATACAAATTGGCAAAATTATTAGGTAGAAAAGACCTGTTTTGTTGGAGGCTGGAGTTGTCACAGTGGTCTTCTGGTGTGTCAGCAGCTGGTGGCTTACCAGAACCATTCAGAACTATGAATTATGGGCACTGAAGGTATGGTGTGGCCTCAACGTTTATCTTGACTGTCTGTCCAGTCAGCTTATATATAAAACAGTTGCCTGTATGTTTTCCATGTGTGATGATTCTTACTCAGTGATGGAGTTGTCATTTAGATACTAAATTAGAATTTGTTCAACTAGAACAGTAGCGACTGCATTCAGTGTCATCAGGTCAGCTCTGTGTTTTTAGGCTTGCACAGAAAACTGTTGAAATTCATTAAGCCCATTAGCAGCTCAGTGTGCCTTGACTGGTTACAGAGACAGTTGATTGTATTGCTGCTTTGCCTAAAATTTTCTTCTAGGACCCAAGTGCCTGAAGTACCTGCTTCCATTTTGAAGTCTGTGAAGACTTGCCTTTGATTACAAATCTTGGATTTTTAGGGGGTTCTTGTGGCTTTAATAATTAAAGGTTTAAAACAGAACGAGAAAATGGAAGTTGTCAGATCTGTCCTTCCAGAGAACTGCTGTCCAACTGCCCATACAGAATGTCAAACTAAATGAAGATTGCGTGGCTGACAATATCTTAATGACTAGCAAAAAGATGAGCAAAAAACAGCTTAGGCAAAATTTCTGACACATCTTGCTACCTGAATGTTTCCTGTTTTCTCATCTTCTGAACCAACTGAAAGGCTTATTGAGAAATTCAAACTTATTTTATGTCTTATCTCATTTTTGACTTGGTGTGTTAAAGCTGGTAGTGGGGAACAGCAGTTCTTCAGTTTGCCTTGTATTCCGTTCTGTATGATCTTACACAGGGTGGAATGTCAGTTGTTGCTTCATCCTCGAGAAGCACCAGGAAGGCACCTGGTAAGTCTCTCAACCCACTCCCAGCCCAAATAGAGTGATCAGTCAATGGATAAACGCATTTGAAAAGGAATTTTGTAGAATTTCTTTTTTTTTTCCTGGACACTTCTTTTTGTAAGGGTAGCTAATTGTGCACTCAATTGTATTGCTAGTGATGGTGACATTAGAAATTGTGCGTTTGCCCTCGCAGGTTAGGAACTCTGACCTTTAATCTGACCTTTTGTTGGCTTAAAATTAGCAGTGCAAAATTGAGAACTGTATGTGCAAATCTAGCTCTGAATACTTTTTCCATTTTGGTCATACTTAAAGATATTTGATAAAATGTGAATGAGCCAGGCTCATGAGGGTTGAGAAATGAAATACATCAGCAAGAGGCTGTCACAGTCTGAGTTTGTATCGCAGTTATTAAGAATTAATCACTGCTAATTAACTTCCCCCCCATCTCAGCGCTCGCTCAGGCACCTATCCACCTCCTGGATGAGCTCCCTGCTGGTGCCCCAGCCCAAGAGCTGCTGGATGAAATTGGTGAGAGACACTTCACCCAAAATGATACAAGATGTGCCAGCTGCGTTTCAAAGCCAAGGACAGTACTTCAGTACACAAATCATTCTCTACTAAAATACACAAGAGCTTCCAAATCGGTTGCAGTCAGGTCAAAATAAGAATAGGAAGTTAGGCATCAACAGCTTAAACAACCGTCAGTTATTGAAGTTTGTCCTTGAAGCTTCTGCATCTCACATAATGGTTAGTGGCTGTTGCTGACAGCAGCTTGCTCGTTGAGTACAGATGTAATTAAGCCCTGGAACAAATTTGGCGTAGACTGAAGTTTTCAGAGGTGTGGTGGAGCTGTGCATGTTGTTCATTAAAACCAAGGCAGACTGGGTGGCTGCATCCCTGAGGTATTTTTGCAGAACTTAGTCTCAGTGAATTACATTTATTTTTGTGGTCATATTTTTATGGCGTTGTCTGGAGATGTAATGAAAGGGGTTTTTTTGGTGTAAATTACGGAAAAGAATTTCACTGATTTTTATTTTTTATTTTTTTCTGCCATAAACTCTTCCTAAACAAACACCAGACATAAGGACAATTAAATGTGCATAGATCCTATCCTCTTTTGGAAAGGAGGCACTCAGACAATTCTAATCTTTTTATTTCCTCATTCAGCGAAACAGGGACGTGTAGAGACTGTCAGCAAGTAAATAAACAATGGTCTAAGACAATTTGCAAATTAATAAATGAACTCATTTATGTAAAAATTTAATCTGTGTTTGGGTGGATGAAGACAAGTGATATGTCAGGTTGTTTAGAAGTAAGGAAATGTGCTGTTTCTAACAGAGTGTTTAAAGCAGCAGGATTCCATTGCTCAAGACTTTGTAGAGGAGGGATTGTGTGACTGCAGGGTGCAAAAAAATGGTTAGCAGGAGTCCTAACATGAATATTATGGATTGAAAGATAACTGTGACATTGCTGCAGAACTACTTGAATGCTTGTCATGGTGTATCCAGCTTTTAGAGTTATTTTCTTAATCGTGGTTGTTTTGGAAAATCCATCAGAAGCTTGAAAAGATGTTGCTCAGTAGGATCGTATTGGCTGTTTTCACAACAGTGCCTCCTCCATCAGTGTTCTGTGGCTTTTTCTGGGCATTCACCTCTTAAGTTTTGATACGGGAGGCTTGAGATCTGAACTATCCAAATGAATCTGCTTCTGTTGTGTCAGTGTAATGTATGCTGTGTTCAGATGTAAGTGATGAAATACACAAAGGTATAGGTGCTGTGCAGTTGGTGTAAGATGTTCCACTGAAAGCAGCCAGTGCACACTACCTGCTTATGCTCCTGACTCACCATGATGAAATAATGCCTGTGATCTTATGGCATAAGAAAATAGCATCTGTTGGGATAATCAGTGCCGTGTTTCCTGTTCTGTTACAAAGGTACCACAGATAGTGGTGTGTGTTACTTCTGAAGCTCTATATAGTAGTAAGTGGGAATCATTTTTAGACTTTCAGCAAGTAATGTCAGGAAATCTAAGTCTTTAGAAACTGTGCATTTGTTTCCAATGAGTCAGAAAGGGAAGAATTTTTAAAAGAAAAATAAAAGGAAAGAAAAATCAACAGAACACGAGTTGGCTGAACAGTATGGTCACTTGAGAATGGAACTGGTACTTGTTTGTGTTATCCTACAGCTTTGTTACATCTACTCTCATTTAAAATTGTTACCCAGAGGGTAGAAGCTACTGTGACTTTATTCATAGGAGTATCCTGGGTTTAGGTGGCAAAGAATTACTGGCTCTTCAATCACGGTGGTTTTGTTGTATTTGCATAAAGTACAGCTATTTCAGACTCCATTTTTGTGACAGCCTACAGCTTCCTGCTTATCGTAGCTTAGCAGAAGGTGGCTGAATATATTCACATGCTTAGAGAACAGAACTTAGTGAGATAAGTCTGAGGAGTTGAGAATATCATTGGATTGTGCTAAATAGGGTAACAAAGCTAACATCCACAGGTTTTCTTTTGATTTTTCTTCCGTATCTGGGATTGTAAGGGGAAAGATTAAAGATTAATTTCCACATGCATTTTTCATTTAAGCGTGAGGCAGAATGTTCACTCTTGCGAATCTAAAAAATGTGCTGCAGTAAAATACTTGTCTACATCTTGCTATTGGCCACCTATTGCTGAAAATAATTCAGATTTTCTTAGTTGGTAAAAGATCAGATGGCTGAGGAAAGAGTAATTCAACAGCAGACAACTGCATGTTTCCTGAGCAGAGTAAATAAAGCCACAGTTTATTTACTGTCTTCCTTTCATACCTTTGACTTTAAAATCTTTCTGTGGACAGATTCTGATCGAAATAAAATGGAAGGCATAGAAGCAAAAAAAGAAATTGAGATAAGTGAGAAGTGTGATTGTGGTGCGTGGACTATGGAGACATTTAATCTAGCAGAGGAAACAGAAAGGTATGAAAAACACAGGGATGATAGCAGCATATATCATTTTGAATTACCAAGACTTAGAAAAATGGTTCCAATACATCACAACAAGATCCAGAGCTGGTAGTAAATCAGCTGTTGTAAGAACCGTGATCACTGTGACTGTTCTGTTGGAATGTGTAGTATTAAAAATGGCAGCATGCATTTAAGCTCTTTCATTCAACAGGGCTCACTCTACTCTTGATGACGCTTTAGAAAGAGTTCTCTGTGCTGTTCCTCCAGATGAGCAAATTGAAGGACGACAACAAGATGAGGAAATTCAGGGATATGCTCTTGGGTTAGCTGCTAACTGCTGCGTTATTCATAACTTATGTTCTGTGTTCAGACCTATGATGGGCTTGTCAGAAAATGGGCTGTTGCTCTTCAGGAAATAATGCATCGAGGAAGTCTGCTTGGAGGCATCCATCAGAACTTTCAGTACTAAACTGAGAGAGAAAAGAGTGTTTTGTTAAGAGAATTTCCTATTAGGTAGAAAGCAACTATTTCCAATCAGCCTGGAAGGCAGTGCATCATCTTCACAGAAATTGGAGAAAATTTGCCAGATAAGTAGATAATTTTTTTTCCAAAGGTAGTGAGAGGAATGCATGCGAAGAGAATAGAATCATGAAAGCTCTTTAGGGAGAAAGAAGACCAAAACACTTCGAAGAGTTTGGGAAGGCCAAACTGCCTTGGAATATAGGAAGAAATGAAGAAAATGGCAAGCACCATATCTGTATCACTTTAAGAACTCAAACATGAGAGCTTTAAATTCTGAACAGCTCCATGGTAAATGCACTGAGTGATCATAAGTCATTCCTAACATATATCTTCCTAAAGAACACGAGATAGTCTACTGTTAGCATCAGGATTTATTTATTTTTAAGGCAAATCTCATGACAGCCAGGAGAGTCTCGCTGATAGGGCAGTGTGATTGCTGCAGTCTGTGTTTTCGTATTTCTCTCTATATATCTATTCATAAATGGCTCTATCCAAAACCCATTCACACAGTCAAACCACATTTGTGTAAAGCGTGCAGGGAATCACTGGAGTCTGCTTATGGCTGTAAAGGTAAAGCATACCTACAGATTTAGTGGGAAGAGATTGCGTTAAGGTTGGGTCAGATGCCCATTACAGCCCAGGGCAAAAATAAAAAAGCATCTTGTATCTCCTGGCTTTTGTTCTGGTACACTGTATTCATCCTCTCTAAAAGAAAATACAGAAAATGAGGTGATATGTAAATCTCTGTCATTTAAGGGCTGCGAGCCTGAGAGATCCACGAGGTGTTGGAAGGAAGAAGGGAGCAGAGGAAGGTGGAGCCAGGGCACGAAGCAATGAGGCAGATGGCTGTGCTGGGAGTTCAGAAGGTCCTCTTCATCTGTAAAGCTCCTGGGTGCTGTACTGCACAGTATCTCATTTATTTCGTTCTTAGCACTGAATTTGCCAAGCATGCACAGTGTAGCGTTTTGCTTTTCCTCATTTTTTCTGTCTGGATATTGCTTCTACCCCATAGTTTTGAAAGAGAGGAAGCTGCTGCAGACCTGAGCTCTCCAGAGATGCTTGGAAACTTTTGTTTTTTAAATCACTTTAGACTGACAGTGCTCTGGAATGCTTGCAGAGAGTATGTTTCATTGTGAGAGTGCAGTTTCCTCTACTGACCTCCACTGAATGACAGTTCACATAACTGCACCTGTGTCCCATTTAGTCCTTGGCCCCTCTGGCTTAGGCACCTAAAGGCTTCACATTGTAAGCACCTTGCTCTGTTACCACCCTCATTTGGTATGTACCTGTGTGGCATGTGCTAATGCCATCAGATCCCTAAAACAGCTGCCTCAGTCCAGTCTCTCTCTCCAGGCTTTTCTCTAATAGAAACTGGAAGCAGGGAGGAAGACTCAAATGAAAGGGCTTTCTCTATTCTGTGTCAGAGGTGAAGTCATTTTACATAGTTGGCAGCTGAGGTATCTTTCTGCAAACAGGTTTCTGATTGCAGGTGAAACTTAATGGGTCTAGCCAAAAGAATCTGCAGTGCTGGTGAAACCAGAGCTTTCTCTCTGAAGGGTGTGACTGTGTTTTGAGCTGAATTGAAATGTGCTTTTAAAATTGTATTATCTATTTTTATTTTTTAAGGCAAGCACTCTGAAGGTCAGAAGTTCCGCTTACGGGGACAGCAGTCTGCAACTTCTCCATTCAGGTGAGCACCTCTGTGACTTCAACTGGGCTTTTCACAGAAATCTCTGTGTCCTCTGGCCCTGTGAGATCCATTCTTCTTTTCCATGCCCAGGAGGGGTGCAGTATGAAGTCCCATTCTCTTCCACACTTGATCTGATACAAGTAAAAAAAAGACCCCACAACTGTGTGACTTTTCTCACTGTCTCCTTTTTTTCCTACAGGATAATTGTTTTGGATCAGAACGGTTCTCCTACGTGATTAGAATGGATAGTGAATACATCTGAGTGCATCAGCTGCTTGCTGCTGCTGGTACAGTATTCAGCCTGTGAACTGCAGCCCTTTTTTAGTCGCAAAGACTTCTGATGCTCAGACTTCTTTTATCTGCAGCAGCAAGTACTAAAAGAAATCGCAGTGCTTTACTTTATAGTGCATTTTATACTGTTTTTTGCCACTGTTTTATATCAGTTATACTGCAAAGGTGATCTGTGTTCTGAATAGAACAACCTTAGTGAGCTGGCTGTTTGTTTTTCTGTATGCACACTTTCATAAGCAAAATAATTTCTTGCTCTTTTGCATTACACAGTTTTCAGTGTTACAGACAAAATGACTGTAATTCTGTGAACTGCTGTTACTGCTCAGACTCATCTAATTTTTCCTTGCTGGAGTGTGGAGTGCTGTGTTGCAGCCCACGTGGTGTATGTTTTTCCTTGCTCATTAAATTTAACAAGGGTAATTTCTTGTTTTCTCTTCTCTTAGTGCTTTTGTGATCTAGTGTTGAACTGATTTGACTGATAAAGGGGATTAATTGCTGTGCAGAAAGTTAATGAGAAAAAAGCAGTGTTCTTTCAGAGATACAACTGCACCAATATTTTCCCTGTCAGCATTCAACAAGAATGCAGAAAAGTTAGCATTACTGAGATAGCTGTTGTTAAATTAAACCACGCTTTCATGGTCCAAAAAAGGTCCCTGGGAAGTAACTGACTTCTGGGTCAGGCTTTTGAAGGGCACAGCGAGTTCATGTTTAACTGTTCTTGTGATTATCACTGTCCAGGTGCAGGATGTGTGAGGATTGTCCTTATCTCTATTGAACACAGTGCAGTTCTATGGCATTCTTACAGTTTTGTGTCCCATGTGTTTCTCTTCCATCCTTGATCAAGGTGGGAAATTTTGCCTATCTGTAACTGTTAATTTGGTTTAATGACACTAATAAAAATGTCTAAGCTTAGTGTGCTCCCACGTGATTATTCTTCTGTTTTTTTCACTTGTTACTATTACTCCCTATCATCAAGTTATGTATTCAACTGAGGTGGTACTGAGGGAGATGCTGCAAATGGGGGAGCTTCCTTCAGAAGAAATCAAGAAAAAGCACATGTCTGATCCTTTCAGGCAAGCCCTGTGGTGATGGGTCAAAAGGACCAGCAGCAAGGAGGTGCATGGGGTAAGAGCTGTGTCAGTGCACAGAAATAGTGTGCAGTGCCTTAGACAATGCCACGTGCAAGTTGAATGTTTTCTAATCTGGGCTCAGGTCAGCTGTAGTTTGCTCCACGTGTAGGGGGCTCTGCGTCCTCACTGCAGGCAGTGGAACATCATCCTCTTGATACACAAAGTGCTGCAACAAGACCTCGCTCTGCACAGACAGGGGGCCTTGGGGAGCCTTGTGTGGCAGCAAGGAGCATACAGTAGTGACAAAAGCATGCAGAAGTTAAATCATGTTTGCTGTGTGATCCTGCCCTTGTTACCTGTAGCTGAGAAGTGCCTGAGGACCATTACCTCTTGCTTTGGACAATGTTTGTGCAGTGTCTTTGCGTACGAATTAAAGAAAGAACAGCTAAAACTTGCTGGTCTGCAGCAGAGCAGAGGAGTGGAGCAAGCACACGTGAGTTTTAATGCATGTAATTAAGATCACTTTGGTTTGCAACATGTGAAATTTTCCTTAGCTCCTTGGATATTTTTTTTTTCTGCTTTATCTATCAAACCAAATGGTGAGCAGACTGTGAACCATTTTCCTATCTTTTTTTAATCTTAATGTGGAGAATTTTTATTTCTGTTGCTAGAGAACCTTTCTAGCAGTCCATAGCCTGTCTGCTCTCCTTATCAAGGCCGGAACAGAGCGGTTGGAGATTTTGGTTGTTAAGCTGCTTGTACTTTTCCAGAATTAAGTTTAGCGTGAATGTAAATCATCCTAATAACATAAAGCATGGACACAAAAGCTGTAATTAACAGGAAGCATAAAACAAGGACCAACGGAAGACAGCAGAAAAGATCAGAGGCGGCACCATCTAATGCTGCTTTGCAGCTTCCCTGAGAACGAGAGGCCAATTAATTAAATTAAAACAGGGATACTGAGCTGTTCTGATGTCTCTCTGAGGCACCAGCAGGGAGGTTTCCCAGGGGGAAGCTGGGATGGGAACTGGTGAGGGTGGGTGCCCTGTCTCCCTGCTGCTGTGGCTTTAGAGGCCCCTGCAGAGCCCTGCAGGGAGTTGATCAAGTGAAGGCATGCAAGGACAAAAGCAGGTGCTCGTCCCGTGAGCAGTGGCTGTGTCCTCAGCTCCTGTGGACTTGTCATCGTGCTGGACTTGGCTTTCTTTCGATGTGGTTTTGTTGGTTATGGTTTTGTTTCGAAGCTGAAACTCAAGGAGGAAAAGCCTCTGTACCCAAAATCTCACTGTATGCTGGTCCAAATTACCTTTCCCTGATTTTATCAAGATGCAGGCTGCATACTGGTGGGGGAATATCGTGCAGCTGTTCCCTTTGCTTCCCTCTAACCCCACCATGTGTTTGCTGCTGTGGGTGAGCAATGCTTTTCAGATTCCCAGCTTGGTGATCCTAGCACAGCATCCTAGCAGCTGTGGAAGCCCATGCAGGTTTTTGGGGTTTTATTTCTTCTATTCTGAAAAGCATTGGAATCTTTTGCTTCCTGTTAACACTTCAGCCATGTGGGCAGGGGCTCTGCTCAGCTTTGTCCTTGTGATCCCAGAGCCTTGCTGGGAGATCAGTGACCTTTTCTTACTGCCCTAAATATAAATAAATACCTTTGTATCTAACTTTTCTTGCCATGTTGATCTTCCCCTTTGTGAGTGTCTGTGGCACCTGCTATGAGAGCAGTCATGCCAGCTGTAATAGCTGGAGGTGAAACATTTTCTGTGGGACCCTCTGCCAGCTGGTAAAGCAGATGAAGGTGAGCTACTAAGTTTTTGTTACTGTTTATTAATGCAGTCTGCACCTAAACATACCTGATTGACTCCTGTACTGTGACTTTAGGATTCATAGCAAGCTCAGACAATGCAAATGCAATGCCAGCCCAACCCAGGCCATGAGATCCATGTCCTTATCTGTCAGGGAGAACATGAAGTCCTCCAGCTCACACGTGTTCCCGCCGAACACAAAGAAGCTGTTGGTGTTGGAGAGGCTGTTGGAGCTGCCCCCAGCATCACCAGCAGCTCAGCCACGGCCCGGTTCACCAGGATGTGATTCAGTGGGGAGCAGAGCTTCTTGTAGCAGATGGACACCATGATGACCAGCCTGTTCACTGCTGGGGCACAGGCGACCACTGTGCCCATCAGCACATCCCACATATGTGCTCCGTGGGGCCTGGTAGGTAGGGCCACTGGGGGCCATCAAAAGGCCCTGGGGTCCCATTGGGAGGTGCCTGGGAGCTGTTGGAGGACATCGGTGCTTCTGCAGCGCAGCACGTGTTGACCCTTCCCAAAAGCTGCCTCTTTATAAAGCCCCAGAGAGGAGCTTTGTGTTGAAACACCTTAAGCTTTTTCTTTTTAATCTGAATAACTCACCCTCCTTGTTTGTTTTTTTTTGTTTGTTTTTTGTTTTAAAATCAGCTCTTTATTCCGGAGGGGATAAAGGGTGACTTAAGCCAAAAACCTGCTGCCTGCCTTCTGCCTCATTTAATCAAGTAAATAGGTTTGGTTACGTGAGCACTGCTGTGACAGTGCAGCCCGGTGCTGTGGGCACAGTGTGGGGTGATGGTGGTGGGGGGAGCCCCATAGGCCATAGCTGTAAAGCCATGCCATAAACATGCTGTATACTGTTGATATAACCACACTGCCTTTGATATAGAGTACAAATAGATAGTATAAATATATAAGTATATATCCACTACTACAAATACATAAAGCCATATATTTATAGCTCTATATATACAGTGTGGACAGGGCCGGGGTGATAAGCCTGCTCCTTCACAATGTCTGCAATGGAACAATTCATGCAGAATGTGGTCTGAATGCAGCACAGGGCATTGCATGGCTCATCCCCAGTGGCCTTCTGCTCATGCAGCACCTTTGAGCGATGCAACCTTAATGGGAACTTAGAGGTTTGGTACCTAATCCTCCCTTGCCTAATCCCTCACCCTGAAATCCCCTCTGGGGCTGTGGCCAGCAGAAAGGAGCAGGCGGTGCAGAACGATCCCCATGCACTGGTTTAGAAGCATTAGGTGGTACGGCCAAGGCGAGACTCATAGGCTGCACCTCGTTTTTTCTCTTTTTTCCCCTTTTTATTTTGGGTTCTCGTTATAAATATTAACAAATCTGACAAAAAGTACACAGATAATACTGAAATACAAAATTCCTTTAGGATGCAGGTAAGGACGATTTCTGCAGCCTTCACATGGTAGCAAAACATCAGTATCAAACATATCACAAGGCGGGCGCGACGACCACCGCTCTGCATGCAGCTGGGATGCACGGACAGTCTGCTTAGAAAAGGCTTCGGTACAAAGTGAGGAACCCCACGTGCCACAGTGGGATGTGCTCCATCCCATCGCTTCTTGACGGCCTTTCCATGAGCTCCCGCACCCCAAAATCAGCCCCTGCAGCATGGGGCTGGAGCACCAGGAGCATCCTCATGGGCATGCTGCTGGCATCCCAGTAAAATCCATGCATATCTGTAGAATGCATTACAAATATGAAGTTATTAAAAAAGACCCTATGAAAGTTTTTCTCCCCCCCCCCCCCCCCCGCCCTCAACCCCAATATCAAACATGGTGTAACGCTATCGGAACTTGGAAAAGTCAACAGAGGTTTCCAGAGATCTGATTGCTTTCAGAAAGGAAGTCGTCGACACCAACGCGCACACGGCTACACGGATCTGAAGCTGGAGGGAAGAGATCGAGACCGGACGGCACAGCAGATCCTCCGAAGGAACTGTGGTTTATAGGCTTCTGATATTCCTGCCAAGGTGCAGCATTTGGCAGAGTTCTCACCCGCCGGTGCCTCATTGGGTTCTGTGTGCTCAGAGGCTCTGGGGAAGGGTTTGCAGGGAGAGCAGGAGGGAGCAGGAGCCGTTCCTGGTTTATTCCTCGTGGCAGATCCCAGGGAGGCCGAGCTGCGTTGTCAGAGAGGGTGAGCACAAATTGTCTGGAAGAAAAGCCAACAGCCTTCCCATGTTACCAGAGAATGCAATCGTTCCGACGGAGGAGCTTTAAATGCATAAAAGACTGTTTATGCCCAGACCACAAAGACTGACAAACCACCAGGAACGGGGCACGGCGGCCTCGGTAAAACAGTCCCATGTTTTAGTGATGCCTTTTGCTCGTAGTAGATACACAAACGAAGACTGATGCATTCATTTTTGCCACTGAATTGCAAGGCAGCGAGAAGGTAAGTCAGTACAGCGACGAGTTCGGGAGAGGAGTCAGACCTGTGTGCATGCAGGTGTGTGCTGAGTGCGTGCGTGTGCACGTGTGTGCAAGCACGTGGTTGTGCACATGTGTGCGTGTGTGTGCACGCGTGTGCATGCCTGTGGGTGTGTGTAAGGTGCACAGAGGTGTTCTGGAAAAGCTGCAGGGGATGGGACCCATTGAGCAGAGCACGTGGCCTCTGCCTCGCTCCCTGGGAAGCGCTCCCCTCTCCAGCACGGAGCTGTGCCCTGCAGCCCTGTGAGCCCAGCAGTGCGGGGTGCTCAGTCGCTGAGGACGGCCCCCGGCAGCTCGTTTGTCAGCGTGTGCCAGCGCTCGATTTTCTTGTCCTTGTTCTTCAGGCAGTCAAACCAGTGCTTCAGCCGCTCGCCTTTGGCGTTGATCCCTAGCACGACTCCACCTTGAGAGAGACAGAGAGGAGAGGTGGGTGTGCAACGGGACGCGTTGGGGCACAGCAGGACACAGCCATGCCAGCCCTCCTCAAGGCCCCCGCTCTCAGGTCCCATTTGCAGTTGTGGCAGCAGAGCTATTGGGCTCCTGTTAGCAATACATCACCACAGCTGCTCACAGCATCGCTTCGGTGGTACTTTGAAGCCCAGACATCCAACAGAGACAAATGAAACCTCCCTGTTCAATTGGATTTTTTTTTCTTTTCCAGGAAAAATAATCTGGAAACGAGGAGGGGGGGATGAGCTGCTGCTGCCTGCTTGGGTTGGGGAGAGGAGGCTCAGGTGCACAAGAGGAGGAAAGCAGAGCAGAAAAGCAGCAGGAAGGCATGTAGGGATGGAGCACAAAGCAGGAGGATGGAGAAGGGCAGCAGATGAAAAAGGAGCAGGCATATGAGATGGAGATTAAAAAAAATGAGCATGAGAAGAGAAAAGGTAGTGGGAAAAGGAGAGAAACCTCAGATGGAGAAAGGGAAGAGGAAGAAGTGAAGCATGAAAGAAGCAGCTGGGACGGAGGGACACAAGGTGCAAGGGGGGTAAAGTGGAGAGCAGCACGGCACAGGGGGCAGCAGGAGCACAAAGAGAAGGAAAAGGAAGGTGTTGAGTGAGGGGGAAGAGATGGGACAGCTTCTCCAGTGGGAGAAAAGCCAGGGGAGAAATTGGGAAAGGAGAGAAAAACAAGGAATGTTTGTTCTCCACAACAGCTGTAAGACATATGGTGCTCCAAGGGGCCCCACTCACCTATGAAGTCATTTGATTTCCCGATGTCGTAGTCCCACACTGTGACTTCTAATGTCTTTTTGGCCAGGTCACCATGCTTTATCTCATAGCAGAACTCCTGCAGGGAGACCACGAGTGCTCAGTCTGAACCCACACAGAGCCCAGTGCACGGAGCTCACCTCCATCCCTTCCCACAGTGACCAAGTTGGTTTCTTTTTCCCTTTCACTCACAGCACTGAGAAAAGCCCATTGGGTGAGAACCACAGACCCACCTCATTAAATTCAGGGTTCAGAGTCTTCTTCTTCACTGCCGTCTTATGCTTTGACTTCTTGTCCTCATCTGGCTTCAAATAACTGCAAGGAAACAGCTCGCCACATCAGCACGCAGCTGCAGAGCCAGCAGGCAGCAGGAGCATCCTCCCCATTGCTGTGCCCCGGCTCTGTTCCCATGCTTGCACCACTTTCCACCTCTTGCACATCATTAAAAATCAGGGTTTGCACTGAGAAACATCTCTTGTCTGCCTGCTCAGCTTCCACCCCTGCAGACACGATCTATGTCCAAAATACCACGAAAACTGAGGACTCATTCTTTTGCTTTAGGGATTGAACTGTTCCTCTGAGCATTCAGAAAAGAAGGGGTGGGTTTTTATATAAATGTCTCCACTCCTGAACAGCAATTAAAGAATCTGGAAGCATTCTGCCAACAAATTCCACCACTGAACTCCCACAGGCTGCATTTTATCTCGGTAGCATCATCCCAACAAACACCATCCCTGTAAGTGCTGGATTTTGGGCCAGAGACACGGGGAACAGGGACAAGGGGTGAGGGATGGGTGTGAGTTGCATCCCTTAATGAGATCACTTAATTTTCACTCAGGGGAGGGGCAGGGTGGGGTGCACTGCCAGCATCACTCACGTCTTGACATAGGGGTCTGAGTATCCATTGGCATCCATGGCAGCCAGGTGGGCGCAGCGGATGATGCCCACCAGCAGGCCCTGCTTCTGCGAGCTGTACTTGAGGGAGATGAGGATCCGGCCGCGCTCCTCCAGCGACTTGTCCTCTGTTTTGTCTATCTGGGGAGGGAATGAGCCCAGTCTGGGGCCGCTCGCCCGCTCCATGAGCAAGCACCGCCTTCAAAACCAGCCCCAGTGCTGTTTGCAATGCGCTTTTGGTGTCACGCAGCCCCATGGGGACATCGCTGTGACCCCTCCCACTCACCGGCAGCTGCTTCTCCAGGCAGATGCTGAAGTTTTTGGTCTGGTTGGGCTTCAGCTTCTTCAGTGGGATCCGCGTCTCCCCGATGAACTCGTTGTGGCGGAACTTGTCCTCATCACAGACAGAAATCCTGGGGACACAGGGCAGCATGAGCACAGCACAGCTATCTCTGTGTCCCTGCTGCTGGGGACACCACCGGGGGTCCCTCTGCTTCCTCTCCCACCAACGTTTCCCTGCTCTTGGCCTTAACAGTTTTTGATAAATGGGATTTTTTTGGGAGAGGGAAGCTTAATTACAGATAAATAGTGCCCTCCAATCCCATGTCAGTGGAACAAATGTCACACTGTGGTTTATCCACGGGTGGAGCATCTCTCCATGGATGGTTTTATCCATGGGTAGGCGATCTCTTCATGGGAGTTTTATCCACGGGTGGAGGATCCCTCTGTTGGTGGTTTATCAATGGGTAGTTTATCCACGAGTGGTTTCTCCATGGTTGGTTTCTTCAGGGATGATTTATCCATGGATGGTTTCTCCATGGAAGGTTTATGTGCGGGCTGTTTATCCATGGGTGGTTTCACTATGGATGGGTGGTTCATCCACTGCCAATTTGACCACCAGAGGACAAGGACCTGGAGAGGTGCTGTGAGGGATGGCTCAGCAGTGCTGCACAGGGAGCACCAGGCAAGGGGAGCGGGCAGAGGGAGAGGGGTTGGGAAAAAAGGCCAAGGGTTTTCCCCATGGGGAAAGCACTCTGCAGAAAACCATCACCAAATGCAGCGTTACTATAGATACTCCTGGAGAAAAACACCCCACCAAACAGCCGAATTCTCAAAGAGAATCTGAAATGCAGGCTCGCTATTTTTTATTCTACTTCCCCCTCTCTTTCTTTCAGAGACCCAAACCAGCAGAGGAGCAGCAGTAACTCCATACAAGAGGCAATCACCTGTCTGTGTGGGGAGGGAGCACTGAGTGCAGAGCCAGCTCTGCTCTTACACCAGGCCAATGCAGATTTTACCTTCTGATAATGTGAGTAACACGTTCCCTTGCCCTGCACCCTCCTGGCTGCCTCCCGAAAGCAAGCAGAGGAGCCAAGGCAGCCTGCTGCTCTGCCAGCCCCAGCCCTGGTTCTTCTCTATTGAACCACGTTGGGCTGGCGGTGCCTTGCCCCATCAGTGCCGAAATGTGAGTCAGATAAGTGCAGCTCCAAACCCAGCCCTGCCCTTGGAAATGGGCGTAATGCAATTACACCAGCTTGAATTTTATTACAAGGAATCGTTGTGATGGCATTCATATACCCTGGGTTAGAAAATCAGCTCTATGACAAACAGAATCCAGCAGCCGCCCTCGCTCCCTGCGTGAGCCCTTGAACGGGAACATCACCCCCGTGCCTCTCCCTCCAACACAACTGGCTTCCTCATGCTCTGACACCTCCCAGCGAGGGTTCTGGGCTGTGGGAGCACTGTGATGGGATATTGGATGCCCACGAGCATCCCCACTCGCTGCCCTCCCACTGCTCCGGCCCTGACTCACTGCAGCTCCGGCCGCCCCACTGCTGACTCACGGCGTCAGCCCGCATAAGGAGCGGCTCCGGCCTTATTGCTGGTGCAGAAAGAGGAGGATGAGGTCAGTGAGGAACTCATCTGGGGCCCTCCATCCTTTTCTGCGTGCACAGAGTAGGCAGCGGATGCCGGAGATGTCTCTAAGATCCCGTGCGGTCCCTATAGCAACTTGCATAGCTCTCAGCGGATGTGCAGGACGTAGATGATGCTTACATGTCATAAAGAACATGGGAAGAGACAGCGGCCTGGGACTGCCCAGCTCTCCCTGGAACAAAGTGAGGTTTCATTGCTGGGCTCCGTCCCAAAAGCTCTGCATCTGAGCGCACAAAGCACAGCAGTGCAGTGCCCGCATGGCTCCAGCACAGAGCAGTCTGGGACCCCACGGCCCAGGGAGCTGTGCTGTGCCTTTCGGACCTGATCAAATACTATTGTCTGAATAATATCTGTAATGAGTCATGATGTTTGTCAAACACATGATTAAACAAAGAATTCCTGGCATTCGCGGGCACGCTGAGCAGCACATGAATAATGCATCGCTCTGCCAATATATCTAGATATGAATAATCAGATCCTGTCCCTGGCCAGCTCTGGTATTTATTACCAATGTGATCTATTTACTGCCTATTACACGGGATTATTTAAATGTAGGTGATCGAATTCTGCCCACATTCATGTCCCTATTGGTTTCCCATGCCCCTTGCATGCCCCCCAGCCCCATAGAGCAGGCAGCCCTGCTGCTCGGGCTGGGTCTGGACGCGGGGACTTTGCTTGATGAATGGATGAGACCTTTCAAGATCCTCCCACCTGCTGCATTTCCTGAAACCCGAAGGATGGAGGAGTTTGAGGGGGCTGCTTCATTAACAAAATGCTGCTTGCTCATCACTTGTATATCACTGCTGCACCGCAGGGCCACGTTTGGTGCTGGGTTCCCAGCCAGGAGCAGCCCAGCTGGGCAGGGAACACTGAGAGCCCTTTTGCAGCCCTGAAGCCCTGTGCTCCCTGGGCATCTTGAAGGCAAAGACTGTGGTGCTCTGATCCACACTGTTGTTTTCCCATGGGAGGGATTCCACAATCACAGCTCTGCCCCTCTGCAGCCCAGCACCAATAATGTGCCTGGAGCCCCTCGGCCCCATCCCATCAGAGCTGCCACCCAGGCACATCTGCCTCCATATCCATTGGGAGCTGCAATGCGCACCTTCTGCCCGACCAAACATCGCTTCCTCCAAAAAGCAGGAAATCTGAGAGAGGAGTTACACCAAAAGCTGCACTTTCTACCTCGTGCCTTGTTTGTAAGGAGCTGCATCTCATCTGAGCGTGCCTCAGGATAAAGAAAATCTCCTTCACCAGTACCTGCTGCTGTGAAGGTGGAGAAGAAGAAAGAGGAGGATGGGAAACTGCTCTTGGGGAAATGAAAACAGTCAAATTTTGAGTGCTGGCTCCTTCATGCAAGATTAGGAATGGAGCCATGGGAGCCCAAAGCTTTGTATCAGCAGAGGAGCAGCCCATGCAGTGCAGCAGCCCTGGCCAGTATGCTTCTTCTACCCTAATGCCGTTCTTCTCCAGAGCCACTTGCAGGCAAAGCAAAAGCTCCACTGCTTCTCTCTGTTCTCCTGGCACAAAAACCATCCCAGGGTGGAGCTGTGACCACAGGAGCCTGCAGGAAGGGACACCACAGCACCGGGCACAGCATCACTGCATCAGCCAGCACTGCAAGGTGTGGGTTGGGGCTTTGGGCTCCCTGCTGCATTTCAGCACATATCTCAGCAAACATCTCCCCCAAACTGATTTCCATGCTTGAGAGGCTGCAAACTTCAAAGCCCGCAGTGGAAAAAAATAAAAAAAAATCCCCACCACTAATAATAATAAACCAGAGGCTTTCCAGCCCGGCGAGCCTGCGGCACTTTCAGCATGACTAATATTTTCCATGTGAAATAATAACCCGCGGTGCTGAATTCCTCATCTGCACACACACTGTGACAACAGGTGGGCTCTGCTCCCCCAGCAGGGCTGCGCTGAGGGCATGGGGGAAACCATCACCTCCAGGGGCAGCTTTGGAGCAGCAGCGCCGGGTTCTGGCTGCGGGGTGGATCCATGATGTGATGGGGCCAGGATATGACAGCCTGTCTGCATACGGATCCCCATCTCCCAGCCTGCATGGGATGCTCTCCCAGCACTGTGATGCCGTGCGATGCTGAGCACACGGGGACCAAACCTCAACCAGAGATGATGAGAAATATGTCCGAACGCACGTCTCTTATCGCAGCGGTTCACTGCTCCATCCCAAAAGCTGGGACAGGAGGAACCCATGTCTCCAAAGGGGAATGATTGAGTGGTGCAGGGAGAGGTGCCGGGGGTCCCCAAGGCCCTACCGCAGCGTTTTGCGGATCATGTCCTCGTCGGTGATGCCGTAGTAGGTGAGGGTCTCATTCCAGGTGGGGTTCAGAGTGTTGCGCAGCGTTTTGGTCCGCAGCTTATTTGCCTGGAAAAGTGATGGAGGTGAGTGGGAGCCGGGCAGCCCCACGGGGAGCCCCCCATCCTCTCCCAAAGCACCCAGCCCTGCATCCCCCCTGCTGGTGCTCAGGCAGCGGAGTCTTGGCAGAGGCAGCGAGAGCAGGGATTGCATTTATACAGCAGGAGCGAGAGGGGGGTGGGAAAAAAAATACCACGTCTTTTCAGGTTCATTAAAAACGACCAATTTGCAGTTCTGGCTGGTACTTTGCATTCCCGCTTCCAGCACAGCTCCCAACCCTGGCTGACTCAAAATAAGAACTGTAAATAACTTCCTTCTAATGCGTTCTGTTAGCGGGGGGAACACTTCCCAGCACTGCAGCTCTGCAGGTGCAGCCACAAGCGTGGGACCCCCACTTTGGGGGCGGGGGAGAGGAAAAACAGACCTTGAGCCTTCGCCCTGGAGTGGAGGGGTGATACTCAGCCCTGGTGTGTGTGCCTTCTCCCCTCTGCATGGCCCCAGTGCTGCCCAGCCCCCCTAAGCTGTGTGCCTACAAGAAGGGGAGCGGCGCGCAATGGCAGCGCTGACAGCTCTCCTATTTCCCACGGAACTCAGAATGTGGTTAAAAACTCCCCCTGCTGCCCTGAACGTAATGAATTAATTTGGCTGAACCGTAACGAGTAAACACGCCTCCCCCCAAAAGGTCTTTCCTTCGGTGGTAAACTGAGAGCTTAATTAATATTCGTCACACATACATTTAGCATTTAAATTCCGCATCCCCTTCAGTTACACCGCGCTCTCACTACACATCAATATCTTTAATTACTCTTCTCTCCAGCAAGCACTGAACTTCAGGAGATGGAAATATTTCCCTTACGAGTGATACCACGCGTTATTATGATCGGAGGGGCTCAACATGCCAAAGAAGAAAGACAAAAACAAAACAAAGCAGAACCGGTTTGCTCCCAGCGGGGAAACCCTCACTGCTCCAAGAGGGAAAGTGATGGGGAGGAAGGGAGAAATGAGTGTGTCTCACCTTGCTGGCCCCGGGAAGCAAGTGCAGCTTGACATAGGGGTCAGCCAAACCGTTGTGATCCATTGGCTTCAGGCCCTGGGGGAGAGAGTGAAGAGCAGGGTTAGAGCAGCTAACAATCCCCAAACCTGTTTGTGGCTATGCTGCTGCTCCCTGCCCTCACTGGAGTGGCACAGCCATGGCACGGTCACAGTGCCAACTGGTGATGGGTTTTGTGTGTGGCTTCCAAGCAACCACGGGGCTGAAAGCGATGGCAGGGCAATGCCCCAAACCTGCACAAAGCCAATTCCACAGTGAAGAGGAGCAATTGCAGGAGCACAACAAACAGAGCTTCTATTCCCAGGTGGGAATCACAGCCCTAGAAATGCCCCCAGGCTGTGTGGGAGCCTTGCAGGGCTGTTTCATGGCTGCAGCTGGCAGAACTGTGCCCCTACGGCAGTGTGGGATGAGCGCAAGCAGGGGCTGCTTTAGGATGGGTCAGAGTGAGGAGATGGGTAAATGGCTGCATGCTCCATGTGCATGGGACAGCACTTCCAGCCCCAGCTGGGCTCCATCTGCAACTTGTTGAGCCTGGGGCCTCAGGGACCATGTGCTGACTTCAGGGAGGGCTCTGCCCTGCAACCAAATGGTGCCCAGCAAAGAGGATTTGGCTTCTCACCCAGAGCCAGCAGGATAAAAATATCAGCAGTGAATGTAGGCTGCATGGCTCTGCCTCGACAGCACCACAGCTCACATCACCTCCCCAGCACTGCCAGGGGGAGCACAGGGAGAACGGAGCTCCATGGGCACTCATGGCACACAGGGATGGCCCCAGCACGGGTTCAGAGCTTGATTTGGGGCTCAGCACCTCATTTAGGGCTCAGTGCTCATTCACAGCAGAGAGAAGCGAGTGCTGCCTGCAGGCTCCATGCCCCACCTGCCCGGATGCTGCACGGCAAATGAAATCATAAAGCGAGCAAGCAAATTCCCATGAAAATGGATGGAGAGAGAGAGGCAGCACTGTAATTCACCCATCCATTCAGTTCAATTAAATTACCTTCTGAGGAGGCTATTAAAGGCTTTTTTAACAGATGTGCTATGGAGGATGGAGTGACAGGAGCCTGCAAAATGGGTCCCAACGCCATGTCCAACTCCGTGAGAGGTTGGGAGTAATATGAGGACCCCAGGGGTGACAATGCCATCATCCTCACTGCACGGAAAGCCATAAAACTGCTCTGAGAGAGCCGAGGGATGATCAGTGGCAAGGCAGGTATCCCTGTGCCCTGTTAGGGAAACTGAGGCACAAAGAGACCCATCAGGGCAACCCCTGGAAGGATGAGCCCTGAGCTGCTGCTCAGCACAGCGCTTTATGGCTGCAGAGCAGAAAAGGGCCATTGGGCCACAGCTGGTTGGGTTTAATCCAGGTTGGTGCCTTCAAGAGCTCATGAAACCCCTCCACAGCAATAACAGGACTCAGGACTAGAGAAGCAGGATGAATGAAAGGAAAAGGGAGGACTGTCTGGGGGGCGGTGGACTAAAGAAGGAAGACAAATGTTGGAGCAGCACAGCCCAGCCCAGAGCAATGCGTGTCCCAGCACCACCCTACAGCTCTGCAGCTCCTGCCCAGCGCCGCCTGCCGGGGTCCTGGCCCTTACCTTTTTGTAGTCAAGTTTTGGCAGCTTTCCCCAGGCGAGAGATGAAATGAGAGCGAGCAGATGGCGATGTAAATAAAAGAGAAAAATGGGAGAATGAGAGCAGAATGGAAATGAACAGGACTGCAACGCTTGAATGTCAGCGTGGTGGGGGGGTGTCCCGCACCGTGAGCGAGGCGATGCTGCGTGCAGGGTCAGCTGCAGAGCGCACAGAGGGAAACTCAGGGCATGGAAGGGGATCCTGGCCCAGCAGCCCCAGCCCTTCCCAACATCGTGGGGAGGGGTCCCTCCAGGCCCCAGGGCTGGGTGAAGGCCAGGAGTCGAGCAGCACCTCGAAGCTCCATGCATTCAGAGGCACAGTCAGGACCTCTGCTGGATGTTCTGCTCTGAAATGTGCAAAAAAAAACCCAAACAAACAAAAAAACCAACAACCCAAAAAACCAACAAAACCAAAAAACAACCCACACCAAAACAAAAAAAAAAAACAACACCCTAATTGCTTCAATCATGCAGACGGCAAAGGAGCTGAGGCAGAGCACTTTGTGGCAGTGATTAGCAGCATTTAAAAGAGCCATTTATAAACTGACAGCCGGTCACAGCGTTAAGTCAATAACAACATCGGGTTGGGAGCTTTGCTAAAAAAACCATAAATAGCTGCAGCCAGTGAGGCATGGGGATGGGGCTGGGATGGAGGGGATGCAAGCATGGGATGGAGCTGGAGGAGATGTGGGCATGGGATGGATTTGGGGCTGGAGGGGATGTGGGCATGGGATAGAGTTGGAGCTGGAGGGGATGTGGGCATGGGGAAGGGTTTTGTGCTTCCAGCAGGGCTCTGATGGCCCCATAATGCCCATTGCAGCTCTGCTCCTCACTCACCCAGTGTGATACGTACCTTGGCCTTGTTGATGGTGCAGTGCAGGGCGTTGTTCTCTTGGTCATAGAGCAAGCTGAAATCCAGTGTCCCCAGAGCAGCTGTGAGAGAGACATGGGGCATTATTCATCAGAGACATCCAGTAAGACCTGGCTTCTTGCCCAACAAGTGCAAAAGGGGTGAATGAAAGTGTTGGAGGAACGCAGAGCATCATCCAGTGAGCTCTGGGACAAAGCAGAGGGTCTCTTGGGGGGCTGTTCCCCATTCCTGGGAAAATTTGGGCAGTGTGGCCAAGTCACCATGGGGACACATGCTCAGCGCACCCCGCAGCACTGCTGCCATGCCCCTCATGTGTATTTTCATGCTGACACCTTCAAATTAATGCTCTGCCAACGGGATCTGCTCCCAGTTCCAACCTGTACGTTATGCCCAGTGAGAATGGAAATGCTTTTGTGATTGAGATGAAAAAACTGCTTTCAAACAGAGCAGTGTTCCCTTACAGCATTAGCAATCTGGCTGCAGCTGTGCATGGGTCCAAGGGGAAGGGCCAGGAGGGCAACGCATGGACCTCAGCAGCAGGAGTTCAATGGATTTGAGAAATTTTCTCCCTTTGTTCTGAGCAAGTCACACCGACAGAAGAAATGGAAAAGCCAGAGCAACCTACCTCCCCGCATCCCCCCCAAAACAAACAAACAACAACCAAAAAAACAGAGCAATTTTGCTTAACACCGAGGCAGGGCTCGCTGCCCAGGAGGTAAATTGCACAAAGCGTGTGGCAGGAAATTGGGGGTTTTCTTCCCAGTGCAAAGCCTCTGCAGAGCAGCTCTGCGGGGGTGGTGGCCATGCAGGGGACAGAAAGCTCTGTGCTGCAATTTCACAGCCATCTTCCAGCCCGGCCGCACGCAAGCTACAGGTTCGCTTGCTAGCAAACAGAAATCACTGCTGCTGAGCAAATATTTCTCCTTCAAAGGAAAGCAAATATTCAGAGGGGTTTCTGCCAGAGTAATGCACCTCCTTTGCTCTGGAGTAATTTCATGGCACGTTAGCTGCCAGTTCAGGTAAGTCATAAATCAGTGGAGTTCACCCGCAGGGCTCAGGAAGATGGCAGGGATGCAGGTTGAGGCTGAACACACCACAACTCCTGAGTTCCCCATGGGTTCAGCCCAAGAGATGCTTCCACCCAAACCATCAAATCATCACCACCCGAATCATCCAAAACATCCAAATTATTGCCATCCAAAACGTTGCCACCCAAACCATCACTGCGCAAACCATCCAATCCACCCAAGCCATCACCATCCAAACCAACAAACCATCAAACCATCACCACCCACTCCATCAAACAACCCAATCCATCCACACCACTGCTACCCAAACCAACAGGCCATCAAACCACTCAAACCATCTCCATCCCAACCACCCAATCTATCCAAACCACCCAAAATATCACCACGGAAATCATGTCCCATGGGCCAAAGTCAAACTTTACAAATCCAGCCTTTTGCTTATGGAAGACGAACCCTCCACAATCACAGCCTCTCCATCCCCACCTGCCCTTCAGCCAGCCACAGCACACCCTGGTATTGATCATACAAAGAGGCTCGGATGGCTGGATTTGGTCACTGATAAAACAAATTAAAGGCTTGGTGTGGAAATTGGATTTGGTCAGGAAATCTTAATGGAGCTCCATGTCCAGCCATGCAGTGCTGCAGCAGATGCACGATTGTGGCTTCACACCACACGATGGGCTTTGGTAGTGCAGGAGCAAGTGAGTTTTGATTCCCAAGAAACCAAGCTGTCTGCTTTTATTGCTTTCATTGCTTTCATTGCTGTTATTGTGGTTATTGCTTTCCCCCTCCCAGCCATCCTCGCAGCTGAGATGGAAGTGGATTGTGCTTTTAATTAGGGGAGCAAGTGCCTAAAAAAGAAAAGGGCAGCAATTAGGCAAGAAGCACTGTTACCAGACATATTTAACTCTGCTGGACTATTCTGAATGCTGCCCTCTAATCACACAGACTGCAAATAAAAAATAATGTAAATAAATGCCTTTGTCAGGCGTTACAAAGGCAGCTTAGCGCTCACCAGACAGCAGGCAGGAGGTATCATTATTATGATGATTATTCTGCTCCAGTGATAAAACAACCATTAGGAGCTGTGAACTCATTAGCAGGTTCTGACCTTCCTTCCCAGCCACGAAGTGGGAGAGATGGATGGGGAGGTGCCACCAACGGTGCTGGGAAGAGAACCAAATCTGACTTGCGTGGAACGTGGCATCTTCCACCATGGACCTTTGGGCACGGGTGGCCCCAGAGCAGCACAGAAACTTGGGCACAGCTCACAGAGGAAGGCAGCGATGGCATTTTCCCTTCCAAAACTGAGGAACCTTCAGCATCGTCGCTGCCATTAGAAAGCCCAGCAAAGCGGCGCGCTGCGAAAAAGTGCAAAAACCCACTACAAGACTAATTAAAAAGAAGCCCAAAGGCCTTAAGTCCCTCTGCTTATCAGCGCTGGTGCTCCCAAGATAATCTGCTCATGGATTTTGTGCCAGGGAGATCAGAGCGGAGCGGTAAAGAGACGGCAGGGGATTGTCTGGATTAGGGCTCCCTTACAGAAGGCGCGGGTTCCGTAACCTTCAAACCGGGTATTTTTTAATGTGCTATAAAAGATTGGTCCCCATTCTTCCATTGCTTTCATTTCCTTCTGTGACGGAGATCCCTTTAAAGGTCCTGAAAGGCAGCGACTGGTTCTGTGCGCTCACAACCCCGTGCAAAATGTCAGCAAATGACTCCGCAGGAAGAACAGAAAGGATCTGTGCCATTTCCAAGCTGGGCAGCCATGGATCCCCACGGCCGGTGGGTTCTGAGAGCCCCTGGGTTCACCCCTGGCCAACAGCCCACTTTGCCCCCGAACTGACAGCAATCGATATTTCTTCATCCCTGGCACGCTCTGGCGCAGGGAGCTGCTCCTTCCTGGAGCTGTTTGATGGATGCTCATCAGCTCCTCTGTCTTCTCCAGGAGGAGTGTTCAGAGGAACACTTATCTGCTCGGAACAGTTCAGAGATGCAATTATGTTTTACAGCACTAAATGGTCCCTGATGTCAGCAGCAATTAGACTTTCAGCAATTTCAATTTGGAGATGGCCTTCAAATCTCTCCCCCTCTCTCCCTTTAATGAAATACAGCATTGCAATTAATAACACCTCCCCCCCCCCCAAAAAATAAACTACTCTCAGTCTTAAACACAGAGATGAAAGATGCGGGAAGCCCCTGGTGCTGGCACTGGCCCTCCCCTGGAGGATGGATGCTGACCAGAGCCCCGTTTGTCCCCATGCTGGGGATGACACCAACACCGCGCATGTGCCATCAGCACCAGCAGAACCACGGCGTGATTTGGGCCGATCCAGGTGGGGGTTGGTTCAGTTTGCTGACTAAAACCTCTTTTGCCCTTCTCCAGATCGAAAAGATGATTCAAAGGTTATAAATGTGTGAAGGAGTTGTGATCAGACGTAAATATCCCCATCCCCACAATGTGTGCCTCTCTTCCATGCATCCTCCCCCCTTCCCCCGTCTCCTGGGTACCCCACAACACCATCATTATCCTGCCCGTCCTTAAGCAGCCAGTAATTAATACCCACGTTATCACTTTGCCTCCCTAATTATAACTTTGCGATAAAGAAGAGCCTTCCTAAATAACCCCAGTGCCCCGACCCCAGCCATGAGCTGCAGACTGAGCCCCCTCACTTCCATGGGGTGGGAGCCATGGCTGGCAGCTGGTGGATGGGCAATGGGATGGGGAGGGATGGCGGCAGTGGCTTGGAGCTGTGGAGGTAACACCAGGCAGGAATATGTGTAGGGAAACCTGGATAAATGCTGCACCTCCCCAACCAGAGGCAGCTCAAATCCTCCCAGCACTGTGACTTCTGTGCTCAGGAAGGGACGCTCACAGGAGATGGGACAAACCCCACACCTCTGTGGGGCTGCACTGAGAGGGAGCATCTCTAAGGAGTGATGAATGGAGCATCCCTAAAGAATGATACTTGGCACATCGCAGCCTAGCTGCACCAAAGCAGAGGCCAAGGTGGAGATGTGAGCACTGAAGACACCCACAGAGGTGTCACCTGGGCACTGCAGTGGGTGGCCCATGGGTGCTGTTCCAGCCCCAGCACTGCCATCCCCACACCCCCACCAGGGATGGTGGCTATACCACCACCACCAGCCGGCCGTCCACACCGGGATGGGTCCCAGGGAATGCGCAGTGCAGGTGACTAATGCAGCCCTGAATCACCCGCTGAGGATGTGGGGGACTGCAAGACACTCCCCAGCCCAGCTGAGCCTCAGATCAGCACAAATCCCCACCCAGCTCCCTGGTGGTGAAACGGGGCCAGCAAGCCCTCAGCTGGCTTTGCGGATGGCTGCTGACCCCAGAGGAGGAATAGGCTCACCCCATGCATTTGTGTCCTACAGGGTCACTCTGCTCTGTCCCCTGGCTGAGAGCCTGCCATGCCAGGGGAGGACCCAGCACATGTGACTAAGGAGCCCAGCAGTGCTGCTGACACCTGTTACACTGCAAGGAACGCTGCTCCCACTGCTGGCACCCGGCACACAGCCCCCTGCTTCCAGCACCACCAGTGCATGGATGGCAGCACCCACGGGTGTCAGTGGAAGCGACGTGGCCCTGAGCACATCAGCTCCCATGCACCCTTCTGCCCTACAGCCCGACTGCCCCCATTCCGATTGCCAGCACGAGCCAAGGCAATCTGATAATTAGAGCAGCAAATAACCCAAATCCGGTTAAAGTCGCTGCTAACTGCCTGGCTGGGACAAACATGGCTTAGTGGGGAATAGCTCCCTGGCCACATAGCTGCTCTGCTCCTCCTCATGGGGTGACATGACCCCTACTCTGGGCTGGGAAGGAGGCAGTGCCTCCATGGGGCTCACACCCGTAGCCCAGCATCCCCTGGTCGCAGGCAGAACAAGGCACAGCAGCTCACTGCCTGGGACAGTGCTCAGGACCCAACTGGCAGCCACCCAGCACCGGGAGAGATGCCCAGGTGGGGCTGGAACATTTGGCACAGGAAAAGCCAGCACCTGCCTTGCATGGGGCCGTAAACAGCTCTGCTCAGTGGGAGCTCAGCCTGCCCCTTTCCCTGTAGATGGGCATGCTGCACCGCTCAGCAGCACTGCCTGCTTCCCCCATCACCTCCGGGCTGCAAACTTTGTGCTCAGCCCAGGGCAGGATCTGGCTCCTAAGGGCTGAGATGAGCGGAGACCTTGATTTGTATCTGAGCTGGAGGGCAGTGATGCTACCCCAACCGCCAGGGCTGGCAGAGCCAGACAGCAGCTGCTCTGCAGCCTGCAAGCTGCACCAAGCCGGGTGGGAAGGACGTCTTGGGTGGGGAAGGGTTAAACCGAGCTGCAAACACCTGCATCTGCTCGAGCAGGGCTCGGATGCCCCCAGCCCCTATGATGCAGATCTGTGTCAGTGGGTGAGAAATGGTGAGAAGAGTTTCAGAGGTTGAAGGCAGCGATTCCCGGTGGGTGCCATTCCAAGCCGGGCAATGCCCATCACTGGCTGAGCACCCCTCAGGGATGAAGCAAAGAGTCCAAGCCCAGCCAGCAGCCACAGGAGAGAGCAAGGAGCCGAGCGGGGCTGAGGCAGGGAAGCGGCCGCAACGGCAAACGCAGCAACTGGTGTCTCTCAGGAGACTTCCCCAGTTTGGGTCCAGCGCCCAGCCTGGCTGCGGCAGGGATGCTCCCAGCTACCACCCCCGTCCCCCTCCCCCCCCCAAAGGGCAGCACCACGGTGACAGCACAGGGTTTGTCACCGCTGCAGCGCAATGCCATGACAGGCAGTCGGCACCCAGGAAGGTCAGCGAGACGGGGACCGACCCGCAGACCCGCACCCCGCAAACTCCCCGCGCCAACTTGGCGACTCACTGCAGTCGTCGGACTCGTAGCCTTCCGGATCCACCGCCTCCTCGGCTGGAGGGCACTTGGCTGGCGGCGGGGCGGGCGTTGTGCCATACGCCCCAAAGAGCTGGTCCACATCCTCGTCATCCTCACGGGGCGTCTCGGCGGGGCCGACCGAGGGCTGACTGACCGCAGGACGCAACGTACCGCTGCGGCCGACGGCAGCGGGGAGCCCGCGGGGGAAGCGGGGGAAGTAATCTGAAATCTGCTTGATGGGTTTGATGGGGCCGGGGCAGACGTCGATAGCCATGTGCTCCTGGATACTTATGGTCGTTTTCTCTCCTTTTCGGAGTGTCATGCATGCGGCTGTCCCGGCGTCCCCGGAGAAGCGAGGAGGCCACGACGGTGGTGGCGGTGGGCACGGGCTCCGCCGGGCTCCTACGTGGTTCTCGTGCCCTCAGCCTCGGCCGCCGCACGCATGCTGCTGCCGCTCGCCCCGGCGCTCGCACAGCCCCGATCCTGCCAGCTCTGCCTGCGAAGGAGTGAGCGAGACGGAGCGACGGCTGGGAGGCAGGGGGTGGGCTCTGGGTGATGTCACCAGCTAGCAACAAAGCGGCACCGGCAGCGGAGGAATGAGGGCTGTGGCCGGACCCGGGCTCTGGGATGGGCATCTGCTCGCTGCCCCTTCCCCAGCACGGCCCCGGGGGTCTGAGAGCCCTCGCCGATTCCCTTGGCTCCCTGTTGCAGCACACTCTGTTTCCCGAGCCCCTCAAAGGAAGGAAGGTCACGGCGTATCACAAGGAGCCCCTGTCCCCGCTGTGCTGCATCCCCACAGCTGTGGGTTGGGATGGAGCTGACCTGGCTTCAGGGGACAGCTTTGTCCCTGTGCCCCAAGGCTGTGCCCAGGAGATGCTGTGCCACGTGCTGAGCGCTCAGCCCTCTCTGTGCCCCCTGCAGAAACCCCTGTACCAGGGGATGGAGCAACACGTGGTGCTTGGATGCTTGTGGCACAGAGCGAGGTAGAGGGAAAAGCACTGTGGTGTGATGTCCCCATGTGCTCCTGGGGTAGGAACAGGGACATGGACGTGGGCAGGGATAGGGACAGGAACATGGACAGGCTGCCCGGTGAGATAGCAGCAAGAGAATGCTGCAGCATGCTGGCAGAGCTGCCTCCAACTGGTGCTTCCACCTCAGCTCCTGTGCTCCATCGATACGTCTGCGCTTCCACGCGATGCCAGAAGTGGATTTTTGAGCAAGGAGTGCTGGAAAAGAACAGCTATGAGAGCATGGTGCAAAAAGTTCCCCCTGCGTGTGACAGAGCAGCTCAGTGCTGGCTCTGACGTGACGTGGGGACACGCCAGGTGTCACGGCCATGTCATGCTAACCATGGGCAGCACCACCAGGTGACCCAACAGCATGCAGAGCCTATGGCAATGTGCACAGAATTGCAGCCTCCTGCAGCCTGGCATGCAGATGTCTCCTAAAAATAAAGCTTCGTTCTTTGGAGATCTTCCCCCTAAACCCAGCAAAGTGACGCAGCACCTCTTTGTCTAATGAAAAATTCCATTTCTCATTCAGGTTTTGGTAAATGTTAATGGACTTCCCTGACTCATAACGCTCTGACACTCGGCAAACTCCCCTCATTCGTTCCTCGCCTGGAAGCAAAACGTTTCTCCAGAAGCATCCAAATTCGTCATTGCCCTGCCTGGACACAGTGCAGCCAGGTGGTGCTGAGGGTGATGAGGGGAGGCTCCGTGTTGCCCGGTCTGGAGGTGCTCCCACATTCAGTCTCCATCTTTGGGCACAGCCTCCAGGATGCCGTGCAGGCAGCAAGAAGCAAAAATTGGGCCTGAAGCCCAGAAAATAGCAGCAAATTCCCTCTTAAATAAAGGGCATTTAAATAAATAAATAAAATCGAGTTACATACGAGCGCCTAATGTCGTTATTGCCATTACACGAGAGTCATTATTTCAAATGTTTTCTCCAATAGCTTGCGACTCAAACACAGAAGGATTGCTTTGCAGAGTCAGGAAATAGAAGCTGTGGGGTTGGGGTGAGGCCCTGAGCTCTGCAGCCCCGGCAGCATAGATGGGTGATGCTCAGCCCCCCAGGCTGCAGCCGTGCAGGCAGGCTGCACGTGGGAATCAGAGAGGGAAAAGCAAAGGCAGCACTCGGGGCTGGCAGAGCTCCCTGCTGCCAGGACAGGATTGGCCCTGTGGGCAGCCCCGTCCCCAGACACAGAGATGGAAAGAAACAAAAACAAGGCTAACAGCCCAGGTGGGAATTTCCAGTTTCCATCAGGTCCCCAGCCTCCTGAAAGCAGCTGGAGATTTTCCTCATCTTTTGATGAGTCCCCACCTCACAAACCAAAGCAGATTGTCTTTGCTAAGCCTCCCCTTCCCACCTGCTCACCCCGCCGGGGCTGCGCAGCCCCGCAGCCTCTCACATGTGGGCTTATGTGATGGCCAGCAGGTAATGGGACAGAAATAGCACCAGGCTGGGAGACAACCACAGGGCTCGGGGATACAAAGCTGGCTGCCAGGTAAAGCCTTTAATTCCCACCGTCTGTCTAATGCCCTGGAATGTGGCTTGCTGTGATCCCTCACCTCTCCCTGAGAAGGGCAAAAGCAGGAGCTGTTTCAGCTCCAGTGCTGGCACAGGGATGGATCCTGCCCTGGGATGGCTTCAGCTTGATTTCAGTGTTTTGAGCAAGGGGCAGAAGCACGGCATGCACACATCCCAGCCTCCCCCTGCACCACACAGCTCTGCAGTGCTGCACAAACGGAATGAGGCAGCACATAAATGAAGCACGTGCCCAAAAATCCAGCCTGCCCTCAGCACACACTTCAGCCAAAGCTGTAGCAATCGCTAAGCATCCAATTCTGCTGTCAAACTCCAGGTTTAAGTCGGCAAAATTGAGAGCTGATTCCTGCTTAATCCATTCCTTTCCAAATGGAAAGTGCGGCGATGCGACAGCGCATCTCCATCGCTTATCAGAGACTCAACAAGCGACCCCGTGGTTATTTCATACTCTGTCAGCTCAAAACCAAACCTCTGCTGGAACTCAGAGCCGTGACACGGGGCAGCCCCATCCTGCACAGCTCAGCCATCCCTTCTGCTCTTGCCCCACCAGTTTCAGGGCTGACTGAAGGCACAGCAGGCGTTACAGGTTGCCTGCTTGAGATGGGAGGAGCAGAGGACACCAGGAACCCAGCCCCTTTGTGACCTTGGGGTATTCAGGACTTGCCTTGTCCTCAGCCTGCCCTGCTAATAGACAGAAAACGTGTTTGGCTTTCTTCACATGATTGCAGAAGGGGCTTAATTGATTGGCAATGCGTGCCCCACAGCAGCAGCAGTGAGAGATCCTGCCCTTGGCTCTAGGGAAGTGTGTGTCACATCCAACCTGCTCCAACACCCCCTGTGTGTGCTAAACAAAGCGACAGTGGTAATGACAACTGGGGAATGGGGCTGAATTGTGCTGAGAGGCTCCATCCTCGTTGGTGCCACAGCTTCTGGAGGAGCAGGGGTGGCTGCTCCCTGGCAGTATCCAAAGCCATTTGGGATGGGCCCAAAACAGCCTTACTTTGGGCAGGGCGTGATGCCGAACGCACACCATATGTTGCCATTTCCATGCGAATCCCAAAATAGTCGGCGTTTCGTTTTGTGATTTTCAAAGCACCGGGTTGTGGGGATGCAGGGCAGCAGTGCCTGGTTCGCTCCATGGGTTCGGGATGCAGCGGCACACCGGGGTTTGGGGTTGGGCACGGAGCTGTGCCAGCACTTTGCTACCTGGAAGCACAGCCACCACCTGCTGCACGGCTGATCCCTCGCCGCCAAGGGAAGGGAGAGCTCTGTGCTGCATCAACTCCTATTAGGCTAATGTTATCTGCTCCTGGTGCCTTTCTGAGCTGGAGTCAGCATCCTCTGAGGTTACCCAGCTGTCTCGCCTCTGTGCTGGTTTGTTTGCCTCTCCCAGCAGGACCTGATGATGGAGAGCAGAGCCACCATCCATCCTGCAGCGGGGCCTCAACAGGGGCTGTGATTCGGGCTCAGTTCATGTCCAGGAGCAGAGTTAACATCAGCATTTAGGGCCTGGCCCTGTTACCATGGAAATTGATAGACTTTCTGCTGGCATTTTGGTGGGAGGAGGCATTTCGGGTGTTGTGCATTTTGGGCAGGGAGCTGGATACCAGCAGAGGGAAAGGCCACCCATCACCAGCAGCGTCTTGAGCTCCGGGGATTTGTGAGACAACATTTCAGTTTGGCAGAATTAAAGAGCAATTGGGCTGCATTAAGGAGCGTTATAACAGCTCCTCTCCCACCTACACATCAGGCTGATATCCTGCCAGAAGCGATCCAACCTGAGCCCCTGGTTAGTGCTGAAGGTGCCCGTCACAGACCCAGAGCTCTGCGCTGAGTTGTGCTGCATGCTGCAGGGCTCCCTCCTGGCTCTGCCCCATACCTGCAGGGTCCCCTGGGTGGGATGTGGAGGGAGAAGCGGGCAGGTTTCAACCATTTCTTCTGACGAACCCATCTGGGAGGCACCTCCCAGGTCATTAAACAGACAGAGGAGTCACTAGATGGCCCTGCTAGTCCTGCTCATCTGATCACAGCATGGATGCTTTGAAATGCTTTTGCTGGTGCTCTGAGGGCTTCTCCAGAGCCTGCTCCCTGCTCCCAGCCTCTCTGGGGGTGGAAGGGGCTCTCTCAGACCACATTCCCAGGGACCATTTCCTTCCCAGCATCCCCAGGACAGCACTGCTCTCGTCAGACATCACGGGTCTCTGCTCGGTGTAATCACACTGACAGTGATGGGCATAAGAGCCAGGGAACCATACACTGAACATCGTGTTGCTGGCTAATCATGCCATTAGCATTATTGGATTAGAACATTTGAATAATTTGGGTACAAGGCTACCTGCACCAGGACATATGTTGACATGAATTTACATCCATTTGCATCCCAATGAAGCTCTTCTGATCACATCATGGGAGAACACCCAGCTGTGGACAGGACTGGCACAGCCCCATATGTGTGGGTAGCCCTTCCTGGGATCTTACCCTGTGTCTTTTGATTCAATGATTTGATTTTATAGGAAGGGAGGAGTGAGATTCAATTACTCGATTCCTGATTCCTAATTTCCAGAGCATCCCTGAGTGCTTTCTAATGCACTTGTAGTAGAAATGCTAAGTCACGGCTGGAAGAAGTAATTGAGCACCTGGTGAGAATGCAGGGCCAACCTAGGGGAGCTCAGGTGTTTGCAATTCAGAAGGGGTAAAGCCAGGATCCACCCCTTCCCAGACCTCATTTAAGGGCTGGCAGTGGAGGTGAGGGCATCTTGCTGGAGATTCCTGTCT